TCGAGTGAAACTTGTTGCCAAAAAACGAAAAGTTTTCAAGCAGCAACGACAAAAACCCATTATACCACAGAACACTAATGACACCTTGAGGACCAATTTGATTATTTGTAAAGACAGCGTTTTGTATCGAAATATCACAGGATATCGGCCCTGGGTTATCATCACTAGAAACCACTTGTATCGCCAAGGCATTGCTTGGGAGTGCCGGTGAACTCAACCGAGTGCCAGTTACATTACTGTTTGTAAAATGAATCCTTAAACTAGCTTGAGTTGTTTTTAGACGCAATTTACTTGCATCAACGATGATACAAGAACTGGTGTTCTGGCAAGACGAGTTTGTAAATAATATGTTGAGTGACCCAGCGGACTGGGTAAGATTTACAGCACTTGCTCCCTTGACGAAAGCGCAGCTGTCAATTTGAAGATTGACGTCATGAGCATATACAGGGCTTCCAAGAAACCAAATACTTGTCAAGTTGATTGTAGTACCATTATAGTTGAGATCAGAGTGGTCTAGACTTATACCCAGGCCATCTCGGCATCTGACATTGACGGGCGACTGGACCCCAATCAGCGAAAGGCTTTTATTGGCATAGATTCCCAGTCGATGATTGACAGGAATATGGATTTGTTTGTGTCCCTGTACCATCTATATAGACATGAGCATCATTGTCCGCTCGCCATACACCAGCAGAAATAGATTTACAAGGCTGGAGTTGCGTACCACAGGATGATGTGTCGACACCTCTAGCTTGAGATACGTAGACTTCATTGAACTGTGTATCTGCTTTGTATGAAAATAATGATTTAAACTATATACTTATCTGGCCCCATGAATGCGACCCTGAAACTAACCACAGCGGGCGCGAGCCCATTACCTGAAGCATACAACTATTACCACAATCTCGAGCAATCATTTTCTCAGCAGACTGGTTATTTTTAGATTCGTATTGGTGCCAAGTTGTGCGCTCACGGGTAATGGGCTGCTGACACAGGGCATAGTTAATAGAGGGGAACTAGTTCCCCTCTATTAACTATGCACAGGGTAACTAGTCTGAGTACGGGCTGCTTTACACACAAATATATTCAATAGCGCAGCGCGCTGATTCTAAAAATAGCTTAAAGATTTGGACAAACATTGCATTCTGTTTAACCGCTACGAGGATTATACGAACCGATTTTATTATTTTTACTTAAAGTTACAATAATAACCCATGTAAACTAAGATCAACTGCGATCGGCTGTGAAAATAATCTGCTGAAAGTAAACTTGTAAGTTTGTTTGTCCGAATTTCGCCTTTGTTTTCGTTTTTATGACGTCACGGCTGCGCTGCGCTATTCGAGATATATTGATTGGCATCAAGTTTATCTTGATGATTTCAAATAACAAAATAATTCATGACAGCTAGCACTAATGTACGATGACTTACGATCGGGATAGCTAAAGATTAACCCAGAGCTAAAACACAGGAAGCCCAATTAATTATTAAATAGGAGATGAGATGGCCTTTGGCCTTTATTGCAGAAAAAAATTAATAGCGTGAAATTAGTTCATAAATCTTTAGGGAATTACTAAATATCCTTACCTCGAGTTGCTACTATTTGAAAGAACAAAACAAGAATAATCTGGCCTCGGTATAAATTACAAAAAGACATCTTCTAATCGACGCTGTATCCTCGTGAACCATGCGTTAGCCGTTGATTTAACTGTCCTAGTCGTTTATCCAGGCAGACATGTAGATAAGACAAGATTTCACGATCCTTTCCACAATTTAATATCATCTGAATCCAGTGGAGTTTCACTTAGACAAGCATGTGAGACATGTGACTCGTTTAGTCCGAGCTCCCACCGGAAAATGCTACGACTGCCACTCCGATATTATATCTTATTTTGTTGAGCCGGAGATTTTAAACACAGCACCACTGTCTTGGAGATGGAGGATTGAAAAGGGTAGTACTTAGGAATTTACTTAATAGGAAAATGTTGCTGACTAAATCCACTTTCTTCATTTTCTAAACATTCAGTAAAGAGTTTAGTGATTTTTCTTCGCCGAAATCATTATTTACTAAAACATATTACTAAATCAATTCACCGAATAAAAAGTCAAACTATGACAACGAAATGAACTGAAATTGAAAGACAAACAGGTGCGTGACAGAACTCTAGATCATAATGTAACATTTTTACAATGATTGCGTAACGCGAGAAGCGATAAGGGAGGAAGTGAAAGTATCTATCGAAATGATTGACTCGCCCTTCCTTTTCGCGTATTTTAACACTTCGTAATTTTTATACTTATACTTTTAGAAATTAAAAAATATTTATATGAATTTTCACACAACAGAAATGATTTCCTCGATACTTTAATGAGATAAGAAAAAATATCGCAAAAAAAATTGTGTTGCATTTCTTTCAAGAACAATTTTATGTAATCCGTTCGGAAGTTTTGCGCTGTGAGAACTATCAAATATATCTATTCTGTTGCCTACCTCGAATATCATCCGCTGTATTTTATTCCTATTTCTTCAAAAAGAAAAAAAAAATACTGGGCTCACTCGAGCCGCTTTCGAATTAATTCTTAAAATTCGGCACATCTTGTAGTTTTCTGTCGCTGGGAATTCCCTCCCTCGTGACGTCAACGCATATGTCACTTCAAAACATCGCGTCATAAACTTGATACGACGTGATCACTTGTAGAGTTCGAAAGCAAAGAAAATTCGCGCAATTTTTAAGTTAGGAATTTAATTTTCATTAATCTACATTACCTACTGATCTATCACCAACATGTGTATTTGAGACTAAAGAGGTGATTTTTAGTAGAATATATGACACCTATGGAAAGTTTTGCTTTTAAATCAAGGCTGCTTTAAAACTAAAATTTTTATCATGTTCGAACCTTTTATTTTAGAAAAAAAGTTCCTAAAGCATTTTGAAGCAATAAAATATTTCAAATTGAGTGAAAAGAATGAAAAATAAGGCTTCAAGATCTGAAGAACCCAGTAGATCGTCGAAACGTGACTACTTTCACTTTCATTTGGGTTGTTTACCAGATCACCGAACTCCTCCGCACACTTCTCTTCCGGTTTCCGCTAAATAAATGTCATTTTACTACTTACCCCTCCAATACAAGGGCAAAATTGTCACGATTTAGGTCACGCTAGAACGATTATGCACCGGAAGTAAGCCAATAAAGTGTCAATCGCATCCAAATATGGTGGTAATTTGGTCAAAGTACCTGTCATTAAAAGCCCATATACGGTGCGTGACGTCAATTGAGTGGCGTTTGTCAGGTCACGGCTAATCGATTTGCCTTTACGGGTTATTGTTGCGCTGTGAACGTTCGAGAAACGAAGGAAGTTTTTTTGCTTAGCTTGTATTTCGATTTATTTTCCTTTTATTGCACCATAACTACTTTATGACCAGTTGACAGGACGGTTAAGAGTCGATACTCTGAGTTTTAAACGTTTGGAGGTTTTTTTGACCTCTTACTTGGGAAGATTGAGCTAAAAAAATCTCGGTAAGTTCATGGAATCTTGTTTACGGATGTTCGATGCTAAATAATGAGAAATAATCTACCTGCAAGTTTTCTTGACTTATCTTTTGTATTTGTGATCTTTTGGGAATAACTTTCTTTACTGTCATACCAGATGTTTGTTTTCGTAAGACTTGTACTTGCTAGAGGTCTTGTATTTGTCTGTCCTGTTTCTTAGATGACATCGAAAGAAGTGAGCACAAGACTTAGTCTATCCATAATGCCGGCAGAATTAGTAGATCTTTACCATAACTTAGGGCTGATAAGCTCGGTATTTGCAAGAGGGGTGATAAGATATGACATTGGCAGTGCATTTGGTATTGAACAACATTTGAATTCTTTAATTTTCAGGATGATAGAAGAGCGTGTACACGGAGTCAAACGTAAATTAAGCGATGCAGATGGAGACTTGCAGACTCGTTGCTACCAACGACAAACCATTTTCGATATTTCACTCTGCAAGCTCCGCAAGAACTACTGCAATRGCGAGCCAATGCTCAGCAAGACGGTGCTCATAGCAAACACTATAAAATTAATAGAAGAGGATATAGAAGAAGAGAGGGCGCAAATCAAGCAGTTGTTATGTGATGTACCTTGCTCGAGTCATTCTAGCGACAGTCGTCTTGGCGCTCGAATGATCGGCTCTCACAATGGATCTCTGCTTCAAAACAGATCTCGTGAAGCGCTTAACAAGCCAATGGATCTAATTCACTTTGAAGAAGAAATAAACTTGTTGGGAGATAAAATTGTTCGGGAATTGGGACTGGACTGTTGTAAGGTTTACGAGGAACGAAGGGAACAACACACGTCGGAAAACACTGACACCACTGACTCAAACAACAATGCGAGCAGCGAGAAGGCCAGTGATTTAGAACGCGAAATCGTTAGCTGTAGCTCGCTTTTGGGGCTTGAGTTAACTGACGAGCTTGAGTTTGGAGATATAGATTTGTCTTTGTACGATTTCGATACTTGTAATGCTGCCGGTTTGTCGGTAGAAGTAGAAGAGCTTTGCGCCGCCTGGGGGYTTTCGAATTCATTGACAGCACGATGCGGCGAGAGTATGAAGAGAGAAAGAACGAATGAAAACTTTGATGAACTGGATCAAGTTATGCAAATCCTCGTTGGTTCATAGAAAAAAGTGAACCAAGAACGTTAAACAATGACAATCTTTCTTAATCTATATGTTTCTGATTCGTACGAGCTTTTAGAATCTCATTAATTCAAACACTGAAATGGTTTCTTTGGACATCGCTCACTAGCCTTTTCACATCGCTTTAAAAGCTTTTCGTTTCCAAATTTTTGAAAAAATTAAACTTTCCAAAAAAGTCAGGCGCCTTTTCAAAAACAGTTTAGCATTAACAAACATTCTGCAAACACTGCGGAGTGATCATTTAGTGAGACTAAAGTTATTTATATTTCAAATTTTACGAGTCTCGAGTTTTGGCCGTCCTTTTCCTAAATGAATATTTTATGACATTCAAAAATGGCCAGTAGGAATCTATTTTTTTCATATAAAAATATACATACTTCTATAAACATTATAGCCTTGAAATATTCCAAAGCATAGGATATTTATTAGCGGATCAGCTTCTTGTTGAAGTACCAAAATAGAAAATTTATAAACTGTAAATGTTTATAAAGACATGCTAGGTATCATTGTACAGATATGACACATAAATTAAAACTATAAATATCAGCCAAAATTTGGTATCGCTAAAGATTTCTGCTCATAGTAGGAATAGACATTTTGTCAGGTATTGTCCATAGTAGGTTGTATAGCTTCAAATTTGTAAAGTATATAGAATAGCAATTTTTTAAATGAATAAATTATCCATATTTCCAACTAGATTGTAAAGACTACATTTGTGATAGCTTTAACACAATAAAATTTATGATAATAATGGTTGTGTTGGATTAGTTTTTTGAGTACTTCACTTGCTTTTTAAGTTTTAATTTTTTTTCATGCAGATTATTTATAATAAAAATCAAGATAACAGGTGAAAATTTAATATAAGAATATAAGAAGGAATTACTAGTATATACCCTGGTTGCCAAGCAGCCAACCAGGACCATTGGCATAAAACTAGATATGTAAATTCAAAAAGCTTTCTATTATCAAACTTCTAGCTATTAAACTTTGTTCTTATAAAATAAACTAAACGACCTCTTTCGTTACGAATTTGAAAATCACACATGAAATTTGTTTTCTGTTAATTGTAATCACGATATAATTTTTTTTTGTTCAAAACTTGAAAAGGGAAGCTGAGGTTACTTACATTTTGTTCAATTATACACATGTGCTAATTAAGTTTTTAAATCTTTTTGTTATTTTTTCTATTTTATTTCATTATTCTTTTCCTTGGAGTTGCCTGAATTATATTCTCTTATTCTCTTTTTGAAATCCAGCAAAAACCTTCACAGAAACTCAAAATTAGATAAGATCTACAGGAATTAAATAATCCATTGAATCAAAAACAAAATTAAAATGTAAATAGGGCTTTGAAAGAATTAAAAATTCCTAAAGATTTATTCCATGTCTGGAAATTTTGTTTATCTCTATATAGCCATTGCATTGGGTATTTTTTCATTTAGAACTTAATATTTGTAAATTGATTGGTTTGGATGATTTTCTTCAAATTTTAAGTTCTTTAGACTTCCTTTTCAATTCGGCAATACCTTATATTGATTTTTCTTTCTTTCTTTCTTTCTTTCTTTCTTTCTTTNTTTCTTTCTTTCTTTTTTTTTTTTTGAGAAACAATTTTTCATTTTATCTGCAGTCTGCCTTGAAACTGATTCAGTAATATTCTGGATCCAATACCAAGATTTTGAAGACTAGTCACCTTTTTTAACATWTTCACTATCACTTTCAGTATTGTATTGAGTTATGCTAATTAGGGTTCTATAACAAATGAGTTATAATTTATTTTTATTTATTAAAAAATTAAAAGAATAACTATAGCTGGTTCACCATATGTGTGTAGCCTGTTGAGAAATCTTACCCAGGTCCATACTAACATAGCTAATTTATAGATGTATGAAAGAGAATTGTTGACAACTAAATGCTCCTGATTTTGGCGTGGAGGTCTTCAGAATAAACAGGCCATGTGTTAGGTCTCATTTCTTTGTTTGATAGACTCACATGAAAAGCCCAAATGAATATTGATTTTTGACTGTCTTGTATTACTCAAGAGAATGACATGGTCTGAAATGGAAAAACATATTACACACAAGATAATGAGGTCTATAAAATGGTCATAGAGAAAAATGGCAATGTTTGTACATGAAAACTATGTGTTTCCCAAACAAAAATCTTCTATTGTTTAACAACATGGCTCCCATGAAACTGGTTTATTGCTATAAAGGGGAGTGGGAAAGTGTTGCTACCCCTGCCTTTCGGGGCATTTTACCCAAGTTTATTTTACCAAGTTATTATGCAACTTCTTGTGTCCATATTTAGATCATTAATTACTCCAGTTTTGAGTTCTCTGTTACTGAGGGTTAGACTTGACTTTGTGTAGAATATTCATGTGTTGTAGTGAAGGTTCATGGAATAGACCCCTTGCAGTACGCTGGAATGCAGCTCAACTTGTCACAAGCAAGGGGTCTATTTCAAAGTGTTTATTGTTGAAGTCAGTTGTGCTTTCTGTACTTTACTAATGGTATTTTTCAATATTTAGACACAGACACAAGGTTAACCCTGAGTAATTATGTCTATAACRAAGAAACGCAATGGTAATTTGCAACTCGAAAAAGGTCTATTAATCCACCCTACAAGTGATCAATTTATTCCTTTGTTATATATTAAATCATTTTAACAGGTATATCTCCAAAGCGTGACCCTCAAAATCCCTAGGACAATAATTAAGACAACAATTTCCCCCAGCTAGCCAACCCCTTTAGGTGTTTATCATCCTTGAATATCTATCAAATATTACTTGCACACGCTGTACAGTCAGAAATGCAATCTCAAATGCACAAATCTGTTAATGCATTTTAATATCTCACATATAGAGTACATAAATATCATAGTATTACAAATGTAAATAGAATCTGTATCTAATACATGTCTATCTATATTATAGATGTATATATAAGTATATAAGTTTTTTTGGCATAATATATCCAAAATAATTTGTAATTACTGTTAGATTTTTGATTTCTCTCTAAACTTTGATCATATATAGCACCCTGACTTGAATCAGCCCAGAGATGGTCATGGTTTGATAAGATTTTAAGGGGAATGTGTAGTTCCAGAAATTATCAATACCCCCTCCCCTTTCCCACCCCACAAAGGAATTTGGAATTTCCTAGGGGTGGGGGCAGAGAAAGAACAAAATTACAAAGTTTGTATGGAAGAAAATTGAAATTTCTGGGGTTAGGGGGGCCTTTAAAGAAATTCCTCTGTGGAGGAGAGGGGTATGGATAAATTCTGGAAATACACAACACCAAAATGCATATACTGATTGATTAGATTACCAAGGGGTAAGTAGAGACTTAAGAGAATACATTAGAGATGATTATATGTATATGTTATATAACCATGCAAACGTTAATTTTATCAAACCCTGAAACAGTTTTATCTCATTACAAAATGGCAAGTCACTTCAGTGTAAATCAAGCTGTATTTGTGCTGTAAGTTTCATTGCATATGAAACACTATTTTATGCCTATTCTCCAATTCAACTGGCTATTTTATGGTTTTACAAAGTGGAAAGCCATTTCAGTGTTAGATGAAGTCATGATTCTGCTGCAATTTTCATTGCATATGAAAACACAATTTTATACCTATCCTTCAATTAAAATGGCTAATTTGATGCTTTTATAAAATTGGAAGCCATTTCAGTGTTTAATCATACCATGAATATCCTATAATTTCCATTCCTGATATATATTCTCCAATCTGATTGGCTAATTTAAGGCTTTTAAAAACTGGGAAGCCACTTCATTTTGTTGATCAAGCTATATTGTCTGTTTTAACTTCCACAGCATAAAAAACTAAAAGTTCTTCAAATTTAATGGTGTTCTCGAATCTGATTGGCTACAGTGATGTTTTTAAAAGACAAAACTGGAAGCCATTCAAGTGCTAAAAAGCCATGTCTATGCTGTAACTGAAAATAGCTAAAATATTTTTTCCTTAGATCCCAAGATCAATTTAAAACTCTATCTTTCATGTCTTAACAAAATTAAAAATTCATGAAATCTTCTGAAAATGTTTTTAGTATCAAGGTTAAGCATTCTGTATTCTCAGACTGTCCATGAATAATAATCTAGATATAATATTTCGAAAATACCCCCAGGACTGCATTAAAAAAACCTATAAGTACTAAGTTCATTTTACTCAATTCCTGAAAATATTAATAACCAATAAATTATTAGTTAGTTGGAAGAATTGACTGGTGAAGAACAATGAGAGCTATATTATCATCATTTATATTGTCCAAAAATACAAGATAATTTATTTTTTAACTATTTATAAACAAATGAAGTTACTTCTATAGTTCACCATAGTAACCATAAAAATCAACTCCCTAAAATTGAATTAGTCAAGCAAATCAGATTTCTAGCAATTTTTTTTTAGTTTGGATTTGAGATAGAACAGAAAAGGAAGGGATGGGCTGAAGTCAGGAAGACAGAAATCATTCCATTAGCATTCCAAAATATGTCTGGAAAAAAATTGTTTAAAATCTTTGATGAATAGTAAAACAAAATTTWAAAAAAACAATGATCATAAATGGGAGAATTTAACCTCATGTTCCAAGTTGATACGACCTCAATTTGCATCTAAAATAATTCACTCTCAGTGATTCTGTGATCCTGAATCACTTCTAAAGATAATTGAGAATTTAATACGACAAAAAAAATTTGCATTTTTCCAGTGTTCAAGGTTCAATTGACAATTTTTCTAACAAGATATTCTGTAAAACGCCAGAGAAAAAGATTGAAGTTGTACTCCTGTTGAAGTGTACTTACAAAAGCACTATAGATCTGTTAATTCTCTTTCGTGATGTTCCTGAACCCATAATAATTCCTATAAATCTGTAGATGCATGGGATCGTTTGGTCACGCTATTTGTATTTTGAATGTCTCTCCATGTATTAGCTGTGTGTCCATCCAGACGTCTATGATTCCAAGGCGCATACAAAGCTATGAAAAACACTGTCCAATTCACTAAAAATCGAAGACTCTTTCTCCAAATGTATATTGTCATTTTGAAAAACATCGTCTTCAAGATCCTCGTTCAAGACTTGAGCTAGTGTACACCGTTCACAATTTTTTTCTTCAGGCGTTATTGTGCCTTCCTCCTCGCTCGCTTTCCGCCTACAAAAACACGAATTTCTATTCACTTCATTTAAAAAATGTTTTGCTCTTTTCCGCGAAGGTTGAAGATTCATAGGAGAGTTCCCCATGATTTGAGAGTCTACGTTCATTGTCATTGCACTTGTTAATCCAAAAGGGCTTTTAACTCCATAGACTTCGCGATGAACAAGTTTCAAAGTATTATTTATCAAAACCGAGCGCCGGAGTGAAGATTCCGGATCCTCCACGCGACGTAGTTTTTCGAACGACACTTGTATTAGAAATCTTCCTTGTCGTTGAGAATCTGTCGAACCGTTTAAATAGTTACTCCTTGTTGCGGTAGGGGAGCATGTATCGGTCACTTGTTGTGGGTTTTGTACAACTTCATTATCATCTCTTGTACGCTTGATTCCTCTTGGGATTTTATCTTTGGCGGGAAATGCGTCTGCAAACACGAATGACAAACATTCAACAAAAGCTATAAACACTGTCTTTGATAAACAATACGATAGGTTTGCTTGATTTTCAACCTTTGACTGGAGGAAAATAGTTGACAAATACATATTAATCGTTGGGTGACTGCTTGAATGCGGCGGGTCTATTTGACAAGATTGATCACAAGATCGATCAATGTRATCACACGTTTGTACATATAATACTTATTGAATTTCAACATTGTGTTCAGTTGCCCGGGCTTCATGATCATTCAAACCACTGTACTGATTTTAACCCTTAATTACTCCCGATAGACTATTCATTTACCTTGTTCTACAAGATTACTACAGAGAAACGCAAAATCGTCGCTAGCGTTTTCCCATCCATCCGTGAAAAAGCTATCATCCAAACACTGGTCCTCCATCCCAAAAGCATGAAAAGTCGTAGTTGGCAGAATGGCAGTCATCTTACATGGCCTTGAATTCTGCTTTTCCTGAAAGATAAATTAAATACCTGAAGTTTAGTCAGTGATATGATTAACCGCTATCTACGATGTCATGTGTACAAATTTTGATGCGTATTTTCATGCAAGGACCGATACATCTTCATGATCATTCATCTATCGACAATATTTCGCTATATTGAATACGTTTTAACCTGTTTAGATTTCAATGAAAATAACGCATACCTATCTCTAACAATAACACTTATTCATAATCCAGAAATTCCGCTCGGTTCTTTATACAAATTTGCTAGTTGCTAATCGTCAAAGATCTCCTTTTCGACCTTGTTGTCTCATGAGACTAATCTTCTCTAATCAAAACCATCAACCATCATAATTTTATCGAAATATGAATATGAACACTCCATTATTGGAGAACTATGTAATAGCCAGTACACGGATATACAATTAACCGAATAAACAGAAATCTGGAAATATGAACGTGTTGGAACCCCTGAATGAAGATAAAGAGGAACTAATCTGGGTAGTTTGGCCTCTCAAACGGCAGATGTCTTCAAAGACACCATCTCTGCTGCTTTACAAACTATCGACACCGCCTCAGGTTCAAATCGACATTTGATTGGCTTCCGCAGCATTCAGCGGGCTTCCCATTGTTTGAAGTGTCAATAACTTGTCAACACACCTGCCCGTGTTTTCCCGACGGACCAATCACATCGCCGGGTAGGATTTCCGGATGCTCAACAAAGCATGAACCTAACTTGTGGCCAAATTAAGAAATTCTCCTCGTTTATAACTTGGTTTTTTGACTCGTAACTTTTAAATATTTCATATATTTTTACTCTCGGAGGCATGATTAATTAAGGCATGCTTAGGTAAGCTCGAGCATTGTCCTTTTTGTGTCCAACGCTATTAAAATGGCGTTGCATCTTAGAGGAAAGTAAAATGCTGTCTACGCTGCAGACTTGCAAACTTCCACCCGCGACTGGAAATGAAGTTTAAATTTTCGCTTAAAAAAACAGGTCATAGGACAATAATGAATGAGTAGGCTGCTAATATACATAACATGCACATTTACGACTTCTATACCTAACTATTTAATTGTCTTCGTTGTTCAATATTATCTATTTTTTCGCCAAAACCATCGCGATCCTCGGAAACGACAACATGCTCAGTCAAGTGTCTGCCAAAGAAAAGAACACGACAAACTACAACAGCTACAACCGACTTAAAAAAATAAACAAAAGCCATATTAACTCGCCTTTTATCAACTTGAAATTATTTTGTTATTCTCTTCCTACGGCTGGAATTGAAAATAAATCGAAAACTCCAGGGTTTATATTCAGTGTTTGATATAGAAGTGTAACTACACCTGCTTAGCTCAACAGCTTAGCGGGAAATGTCTTTTTATCAGTTTCCTAGGAAAATACGGGAAATTCCTTTTCATATTGGATCCTAATAGCGCATTATATTCGTCGAGGGCTGAGAAGAGAATTCCTTGAGTGACTTCTCGAGTCTTGAGGAGGCGTTTGTGGCCTTTTACAGCGATAGCTTTATCATCAAATCCTAGTGTTATAAACACATGAACGTCCGACAGCAGAACATTTGAAAGATCGATGTTCCGTCAACCATGTGCCATTTGTGTTTTAGACTTGGACTAATTTTGATTGTAAATATTGAGTCTAAGAATTTCAATTCAGTGAGATACCCTATTAATGCTTTTAGCCCTTGTTCCTGTTTGCAGAAAACACTGCTTCGCAATCTCCAAGATCTGTAGAAACGATATTTGTTAATTCGCCTCGAATTCGAATTGTGCATTTTTAATTTMAATGCTTGTGAAAGACACTTCACCGTCGATCCCAGAAGAAAATTGAATAAACAAACTAATAAAAAAATTATGGCATTTTACGGTGAATTAATAAACGATCTAACCCATAAACTTCACCGTTGATTTATTCGAACTCTTATGATGCGATTTTATTAATTTCACTTTGAACTCTAAACAGCAGTGCATCGTTCAACGGGATCAAAAAAGGATTTCAATTATTGTCGAAGTTGTAGGATTCCAATCGATACGAAGATCAAGGTTATTAAAAAGAATTAAACAAAATCAAGGTAAGCACTCACCGTCTACGTCGCTATAGAAAGTACACTCGCGCCAAAACCAAATGATCGTGATCCACAGTGAAATGCCGTGTTCTATTTGTGAAGTGGTCTGATATGAAAATTCTCGATGGTCGGTCCAATCTACTTTGGCGGTTCATTTTTGCATTTCATTAAAATTGAATTAATGAGAAGTGTTGCAACCATTCATGTGTTGTGGTTCTAATCATTTGATCTGCATAATATTGTCTCAGTCTACAAACAAATATAATGCCATGCTATCCGATTGGTTTTGAGTTCTCGTATCAGCCGAAAATGAAGAGAAAGATTTGTTAATCGAGAGTGGCTAACGCGAATTAACTTTCAAGGCACTTGCAGATTGCGTAAAGCGACAATATACCGGCTGATTGCAATGTCATCACTGAACTCTTGGCTTTGCGCAGCGATTTTTTTTCTCGAAAATCAATGCCAATTCATTGACTTTTCTGGAAACGATATGTAGACAGGAAGAAATAAATATTGCGCAACTATACTTTCTGTTAGTGTAATTAAGGACTGTATCTTTTATTTGATGCTAAAGTGTTACAGAATTTAAGCTTATTTTTTCACTCTTGGCTGCACTAAATTCTTGACCACGCAAATCCCTTTTTTAATGGACGGAAGCCATTTTGCTGCTTCTTGGCTGATTGATAAATTTCATTGAAGCTCGCCGGCTTTCGATCTTCAATCAAAAGAATTGATTGTTGACTTAAGAAAATTTAATGAATCTAACCGGCAAGTTAATCAAGGTTAATACACACAACCGTCAAACAAAGTTGGTTTCGATGTCAGCCTTTGATACTTCCAGTAGCTCCAAGAGATCAGAACAATTCGCAGCGGGAAGAATTAAAGGCAAAGGATATTAAAGAGAAACACGGGGTCCACGTTCATTACTCTTCCATAGAATGAATAATGTGTTGAATCGCAGTGGGGTTCCAAGGAGCTGCATATTGCATGAGGAAGTTGTTTTGGCTGGGATTTTTGGATTCAGCTACACTTAGGGCGCTTTCCATTAAGTTTCACCTACCAGTCCGACGCGGCTAGTTATCAAATGGTATGCGTTAGAATTGGTTAGCCAAGGTCTCAAAACTCAATGACAACAACAGACACCTACCATTTGAAAACTGGACGCTCGGACTGGTCGGTTCGACTTAAAGGAAAGCTCTCTTAGACCACTTTACATATGCCGCAAACTATAACACTCAGGGTTAGAGCTTTTTTTTCTTTTTTCTTTTCTTCTTTCTAATACTTTTTTTCCTTTCATTTCTTCTTATCCATTATTTCTTTCCCTTACTTTGTCAGTTTTCCTTTTTCCGTTTATTTCTTTTTTTTATTTATCACGTTTTTGATTCCTTTAACTCTTTCTTTCCGACCGTCGTTGTGGAAAAAATCCCTTAATTTCATTCCAACTTTCTTTCGTTATGCTCTTTCCTCCGATCCATTTTCTTATTAATTCAGGAATGATTTTTCATTGTCAAGGCTTCCCATAAATGTTTAAAAATTTTCAAAATAAAATAACCAAGCAAACAAAACAAAAACAAACAAACGAACCAAAAGGTATCTGGGAAGTTATTTCAAGTATACCACATGCAAGTTTTCATTAATTCGTTCTATAGTTTATTCTACGCTAATCAATTAATACTTATATAATATTTAGATATCTTCATAATTTATATTATTAGTGCACATGCCGGCAGTCTTCAAGTATAATCTAGATAAACTACTATATCTATATCCATATAAAATAACAAATGCTTTACTTATCTCAATAATGTAGATCATTCTCGTGATTTAATTCCCTTGCAAAATGACTAGCGCGTAATTTAAACTAAACAAATCAACTGGAGTTCATTTTGCTCTAGAATTTCTTTGAAATCTTGGCTCGGTGTCTTGGCTGTTAACATGAAAGTAGGGTGACGCTACAGCTAGGGCTAATTCTTTTACCTTTGATGTCCTTCGGGAAAAGAAAATGTTGTCCCTAACGCCAGTGTTAGGTGGTTACAATACAGTAAAATTGTAGTCGTACTGTAAGTATCTTACCGTAACCGTAACTACGCGTAATGATTGGATGAATTACGGGAAGTCAATGGGAAGCTATTTCAAAGTTCAAAGACAGCGCCGTATATTTCCCAATCACACTAACTAAAAATTGCCCTTCTCTACCATCATATAAATGTAAAGGAGGCGAGAGTGACAACCTTAAGGTGAGAGGTCTCCCTAGTTCAAGCTAAGGGTATTTTTTTCTTTGAAGGGACACCAAAACAAAAGAGTTACCTCGGGCGGTACGATCAAATTGTTCATGCTAACAGCTCCCAAATTCTTATCTATTACAATTTACACTTGAATAAAAATATTTACAAAAAATTAATAACAATAACGGTCAAGACCATAATATATTGATGAATTCAATCGTATTGTTCTAAATAATTTTTTAAAATGTGCAGCCTGGATTGGTACCCTTTGATATTATCATTTTCGTGTTTCTGATCCGTAGCACTGTCGCTCGTTTTTCAGTCAGAGTGCGTTCTAGTGAAGTCCATGGAATTTCAAAGTGTTTGTATTGTTGAAGTTGTGCATTCTTTACTTTACTGTACACGGTGATGTTATTCTAAGACGATGATCTTAGAATAACATCAACGCATGCGTAAGAACAAGGCAAGACTCAATTTCGAATGCACTTAGAATTTCTTTTTTCTTTCCTTGCTTCGTGTTATCCTTCTGGGTAAGTAAGGTGGTTCAGGGGTATCATAACAGACCTACGCTAGATCCAGGAACAATAGGCCATTCAGCACTCTCAAGGTCCCAGACTTTCTTCTCCAAAGGACCACCGCTGGCTTTTGGGGTCGCTGGCGGCAAGTCACACGTGATTCCCTTTTGCCGAACGATTGCGTTGATGTAACTCGCCATTAAGAGGGTTATTTCTAAAATCTAAATTGAAATATAACATTAAGTAAGCTAAAAAAAAGAGTTCATTGTTTTCTTTTTGCTTTGCTGTTTATCCCAAGTGCTTGATTTGTTTTGAAAGTTTTTCTACGGGCTCTCAGGCAGTTCCTCCCTGCGCTAAACCCAAGCCAGATTTCGATCTGTGAGTAAACCGTGCCCTGAATCAACCAAGAAGTTGTTACCGTATGGCAATAAGATTTAATGTCTTTTTTATCGAAGGAAACACGGGAGCTGATGCAGTTTTCCCGCACGATTTCCGCTCCTCCCAACTTTGAAGTGACCATCCCTTGGATTACATCAACATGTGCTGACACGGGTTTCATTTGGATAATATTGGACCAAAAACCTCTCCTTAGTTGGAAATTAATAGACCGGTTCGGCTTCTTGGTCAAATTTTTTTTCCCATTTCAGGCCACGTGTCATTCCCTAGAGTATAAAACAATTAAACAAGAAATCTTATTCTCGAGAAAGCGACATGTGGTCTGAAATGGGAAAACATTACACCCAACCCGAAAAGGTTAATAGTCCCCGTCACAGTTTCCTGAGCAATCTCGAAAGATAGCCATGCCTTTGCATCGAAGCGAGACGAACGATGAGCTTGAAATGAAAATTGTTGAATGTGCTAAAAAAAGGTCTCTATCATTGCAAGCTCACGGTTCGTCTCGTTTTGATAAAGGCACGGCTACCTTTCAAGACGGCGCAGGGAACTGTGAAAGGCACTATTGTATATACTGTGCATTTTTCAAACGATTCTCGGTGCTGACCGAGGGGAACGTGGGCTCTGGATTGAAGATTGACAAATACCTTGCCCCTGGTCATATTGAAGAGCAGTCTTTGAGTGCCTTGTTCTACTGTATTACCGCCTCTCATGATAGACTGGTTGACAACCAACATGAAGTCATCCTTACAACCACCAAAGGTGACCACGTGTTTATACTTGTATCGGCACATTAGTCGCTGCAATAGATAAAACAGCTCTTCAGATATAATCTTAATTTTCGTTATTACGCGAAATGATAAATTGAGATGCCTGGAAATTTTGCTTCCGTGAATCAAATTTTCAACGAACTTTTTTGATTCATGAAAGCCCAAAAACTAATACTGAACAACAACAACAAAACAATTAAGGGGGAGGGGGACCGAATATTAGTCACGGATTATGAAAAGAGGTATGTTAGTCACACTTATTTCATTCGCAAGGTTCTACTTTTGCTTTCGAACCCCACCCCAACCTCACGTTTTTATCACGCTTTCCCAATCCTCAGACTTTTACGTTTCTTTATTTTAGTAGCGAGTGAGGCCGAAGTCTCACATGCGGTCACGTGACACTTAAATGGCTTTCACTCTTAAACCAATGTCGGGTCCGGCAAAAATGAAAATGGAGTCACTCAAAATTATTACTAAATTATTATTTCTCAGTATTGTGCAAGTGTCCACATGAAATATGATCAAATGCGCGAAACAAATTCTGAGTATATATCCTCAAACATGCTGCTTACCAGGCTCTCTCCTTCAAGAATACTAATGCTGTCTTCTTCTACTGCTAGCCAGACTGGCTGGGAATTCACGGATGAAGAGGCTCTCCTCTTGCTGGAAGATGTTGTTTCTCTTTGCTAGAAAGAAATGAATTTGTTTAGTATTTATCTTCATTGGGTTGGAGAATACGACACAGGTAGTCCAAGCTAATGATTTTTTATATTCCGAAATTCTACCAACTAGTGCGATATATATATTTTTATATGAAGGAATAAGAATAAATTATCAAATTAACAAGGTATCTCTTATTTCTCAATTGACACGGTTTTCTTTGTTATTCACAAGGCTTATTTTTGTTATAACCCTCATTATAAATGCGAGGTCAATATGTAGTTAGTTATTAACCCGGTTAATAACTATATATAGACCGTTCGCATTTATAATGAGCAACATTTGATAGAAAACCTTCTCAATTGATAAATAAAATACTTAATTACCTCGAAAGTTGGCAATAAGCCTATGCATCCCTCGGGCCTGTGGCCCTCGGGATGTATATGGCTTATTGCCTCCGTTCTCGGTAATTAACTCTTACATATTTTCATGCATTCCCTCTAAAACGTCCTAGAGCCCATCCCCGCAAAATCCTTAAATGGTAGAATATATATAAAGAATATAAAAAGTATAAGTAATTTTTTTTGGAAATGCAGGTTGTATTCCAACACACCTGTGCTTTGAACAACTTGCTTCCAAAGAACGGCCATCTTCGAGCATTTTCCAGGTATTTGTCCACGCATTCCTGGTCGTTCCAGCCATGGAATGTGGACCACTTCTCAGCCATTTTCAAGGTCAGAGATCGCTTCTCGCTGTCACTGGAATCTTCTTTCAAGTGTTTTGGGAAGTACTTTGAGATGACCGTCTGGACTCTCTTGCTTGGCAAGGAGTTGCTGTGAGCTTTGTAGTCGCCGTAATTTATCTGAAATATTTCAAAAAAGCTCTAACTATGGATCTTTTGTAAAATCGTGCGAGGAACGTGAGTTTCAGGCGAGGGGATGAGAAAAAGAGCAAATGCAGACTTAAGTGAGTCTCTGAGTTTCTATCTTTGATAAAGGGGGACTGAGGTAGAGACCGGATCCAGGGGGAAGGTTGTAGGGGTTCTTTAAACAGAATATAATGTTTACATTTTTTGGTTCGGCGTGTTTTGACGGGGTGAATGGCCCTTGCAGGTAGAAACCCCTCTTTAAGAAAATCTGGATTGGATCTGTCCCTGGAGATGGTAGGTAGTGGTGGTTTTGTGGAGTCAGTAGAGAGAAATAACTCAATGTTCTTGTCCTTTGACCCTGTTCCTTGAATCTAAACTGCAGCAAAGCGCAGAATGCAATATTCAATTGTGAGAGGGAAGGGACCCCCGGGGAAGATAACCCAAAAGCCTTACATGCTGGACATCAAAGACTATAGCATGTGTTATAGTTGTACATGACAGCTATACAGTTTACTGACCTGTGCCATCAACGCTGCAAACTCGATGGCAATGTCTCTGCTCACTGGAAATCTGCCTTTAACCACGTTAATATTCGTCTGTAAAATAACAAATTTGAATACATCAAATCAAGGAAGCCAAGCACAGGTGATGTGGCTATGTCAGTAGAGTTGTTTCTTGATTCTCTCGAAAAATTTTCTCTGGGTTCCTCGGTGTTTCCACCCTCCGCAAAACTCTATCTATCGGCTGCCTTATCAAGTGGGTTGGACAAACCTTTCCGCCGTCTATCCTAGAGTGGGAAACTGTCCCCATTAAATTAGAACCCTTTGGTGAAGTTTAACACCCAAGTCATAAATATTAACTCACCTGAAAGACCATGAAGTACTTCTCCTTTGGAGTGTCCTTATCAGAGAGGCTTTTGAAGTACAATCGGTTCTTGAAGGAGAGTTTGATAACTCGACTAGAATCCAGTCTTCCTTTGCAATTACTGCGCATGGCCTGCTCCCATTTGCAAATGACGTCACATAGCTTAAAAAAGAGAAAAAAGCTTCCTTATTGTGATCACGTGGACTAGCAGAGGCTTCCAAAAAGTTAGAGATTTTTAAGGCTTACGTTTTTGAAAGGGGTTGACCTAGAGGATCCTAAGTGAGACATGTGCATTACCCCACACCAACCCTCCCAGGAGAACTCGATTCTGTAAATTTTAAAGTAGCCAATAAACAGTCATAGCTCACCTTAACACTTGCTTGCAAACAGTGTTCCATTGGAGTAACAGGATTGTCTGTGAAGATAGCGTAACCACTCTGGGATGAATCACGGATGCCAAGGCTCTGCAACGAGAAGTTTATACGTGAGAACTACTTCCCCCACGTCCAATTTTATATGGGCTTAAATTTTGTTTTCCTTTATAGAAAAAGTTTCTCAAGAATATAATCCCCGCGATAAAACTGCCATTCGTACGAAATCTGTTTGCTATTGAGAGGCTGCAACGTCTTACCGCGTTTATTGTTTCAATGAATTCTTCAACCGTAGTCGAACCATCGAATCCAAATACCTTCAAAGAATAAACACACGTTAAAAGGCGTAAAATAAATAGTAAGATTAAGTTACCCTTAGAAGATAAAATAGATAGAAGATAAGAAAAAAGATAACCGCCTTACGTGAGTTTTGCCATCCACGAAGTGTACGGGTAGACTCATTGGACAGGAATGATCATACGGGTTTTGAAGTAATATTGATATTACCTAGGGGAAAAAATTACCACGATAACATTAATCAGAACTAATGTAACTGACATTAATCATTTCATTTTTTGAAACCAGTGGAAGAAGTGCCACTGTTAATCCCATTAATATTTATTTTATTATTATTTATTATTATTAATATAAAAAAGAATGCCGCGCCATTTCAAAATCCTATTTATTTTGATTTTTTATGAATATATGCGCAAATGTATTAGACAGTCTAAGAATCTGGTAATGCTTAACACGCTACATATGTAAATGTATTTGTCACCGTCGTACCTCCATTCTAGAAGGTCTTGCTTCTCTTTTCCCGTTGGCTATTGTTCTCTCTAAGCTACGAACGCAGTACGCGGCATACTTTCCCTGTCGTGTTCTAAAACGAAAATGATTGCATAGTTATTTCAATTGTAATACTGATTCATAAAACGAGTAATGCTCGATGGTTGGGTGCGAGTGAGTTTGGGTGGATCAGTTAGCGATGGGATGGGTGGGTATGTGGATAGATGGGTGTAAATGTGGCTGGATGAATGAATGGAAAGAATGGATGAGAGTTTGGATAGATTGATGAAATTAGCCATTCCGTGCTGGAGGAAAAAACTGTGTCGAGATGGCACTGAAGTGAATTTTGGGACTGTATTATATAGGGGACACATTTCCAAGATGGCGTCTATTTTTTCGCCTAAAACAGTCCTACAATGCACTGCAGTGCCAACTCGACCAAGGATGGAAGGAAAGAATGGAAAGACAAATGAGTAGATACTTAGTTTTTTTTCCTTACTTTAAGTTGCAGGATCTCTTTAAATGAGCTTTAACAAAAGACAGCAGCTGTTCCTTAGGAACGAACAATGACGTACACAATGCCATCAACTGCCATGTCTGTAGATACACATACTCTTGAACAGGACGAAGGTCGATTGTCTCTGCTACCGACGCGTCGGCGCGCAGCCACGAACGCTTGCCACAGTTCATCAGAAAATGCTGGGAAAAGACAACGTAAGCATAAAAATTGTCCTTGTTTTAGGAGGATAGACCAACCGTGCTTCCCGTTTCGGCATTGTCAAGAGTGACATTTACCATGCATATCCCCCTTCCTCATGTCCTCATACTTTCCTACCCTAGTCAAGTGCAGTTCTTCTTACCCCTAAGTCTTCAGGTCCCCTGTGGGTCTTTTTGACAACACAACGAAACCCTGCCCCCTCCCCCTGTCAGTCGTGCCTTGATACTCCCCCTGTTACCCTAGTCATGTGCAGTTTCTACTTACTCCTAAGTATTCTGGTCCCCTGTGGGTCTTTTTGACAACACAGCGATGTACCCTGCCCCCTCCCAGTCGTGTCTTCATACTCCCCTGTTACCCTAGTCATATACAGTTCTTCTTACCCCTAAGTCTTCTGGTCCCCGATGGATCTGTTTCGACGTCTGTTTAACGAGCATGCAGTAAATCTCGTTTTGAAGCTCAGGATGATCTAACACGATCTGCAAAGCATTCTGGGCCAATGACACGTGATAATCAATCGCTGTTTCCTCTGTAGCAACAGTAGTGAAGAGCAATATCGACTGAAGAAAAATACAGGCCGGAAAATTACTAATTACCCAACAAACATACTGGCGTAAAACACACGCGCATGGGAATTTGTCATCATTTTATCAGTTCGCTCACTTTTGCGCAACTGCTTGTAACTGGTACTATAGAAGAAATGATACTGAAGGAAACGAAATTAGTGACCTTACTTGTAAAAATTACAGGTCGAGAGCAGGCCGAGTGGGTTATTGAAGTGTTTGACGTTTTGTTTGTTGAATAGCTGGTCAAAAAGAGGTCGTAAATACACCTTAAACATGTCTGTTGTTTTGGAACATACCTTGAATAATTTAATTGCTTCTTCTTCCAGTTTTTCAGATGGTAACGTGGTGAGTGGTTTAGTGATAGCTTCTTTACTGAATGTAAGTATAGGTGTGTTCCATAGCTCGCTGTCTGTAAACAGATTCATCAAAGTATATTGTCAGTGTTCGCGACCTTCCTGTGAGTGAACACGCACTTGCGGTCAGCGGACTCCTTAACTACTAGAGTAGATATTACTGTGACTGCACGGCATGGGATTGATGTCATTCGTTGAACCAATCAAGGAGCACGAGATTATTTCTCCACTAATAAAAAGGTTCGGACGAGATTATTTTTCCACCAATAAAAATGCTCGAACGTAAATCTGTCACGGTCACGTGACGTCAGTACCGTGAGTCTTCAGTCATACGATTAGCTCTAAATTAAAAAAGAACTTGTCAAATTGGTACCTGGATTGCCATCTAATGATACAAGTTTGGCTGCAACCTTCTCGAAATCCGTGCCCTTGTTTCCAAGCCCACTTCCTGAAGAAACGATCAGGTGAAAAAGCCACGAGTCCTGCAATTTGTAAACAAACACTCTATTTTTACCTTAAAAAATAAAGAAACAGGTGCGCACACTAATTGAATTCTAAAAAAGCCCTTTTTTCAACCTCGTGTAGTAAAAATTAATTTCAAATTTTTGCCCTTGCGCTGGTCGATTGAAGACCCTACCCTACCCAAACCGATCGTCTTTTGACCAACTTACTTTTTCAGCCTTAGAGTCTATTAAAAGATAGGTCGGACTTGATTGATTTTCTCCTTTTAGTACTAATGTAAAGTGTCTGTATGAATTGGATGGGGATTCGGAATTCCTATCTTCTTCAGACTCTGCTGTTTCTAGTTCCTCCACGACAATCTCCATCAAGTTTGCCATGCTGTATGGTACCTGCCAGTTTTGAAGAAAAAAATAAAATAAAAATTCGGTCTCAAACACAAAACATTAATTGAACACGAATTTTTCCAGATTTTGTTGTTATCTAAGTTGAGCTCCCTGTGGCCAAACGTACCGTGTCTTCTTCATTCTTGTAATAACAGAGATATTTCCCACGAAGAACACACCAACTTCTCTTCGACGAACCATTTTTAACCTATGAAGTTAAGAATTTTAAATGAGTAAATTATACTGATAATGTTACGGTACAGAAAAATAACGTCATCTCCATTTAACCAATCGCGTGCATCGCGCGAAAATGATTTCGTCAATCAATCTGAATGCTGGCACGGCACGGCACGGCACGTCCCTCAGTCGTGTACATATAATCGAATTTTAAATATGGTTGCATCAATCAATCAGAATGTTGAGACACGTAACAGTTAGCACGGCACGGCACGGCACGTCCCTAACATAAGTCGTGTACATATAACTAAATCAAATGGTACGTTTGTTATTGCTGTAAGTTTTGCCTGGTAATAAAGATGTTATGATACCTTATCTGTTACAAGTCTCTTTTTATTACCGAAAGAAAGACGACAAAAGAATACATAGCAGCAACGATGTCAGACGCAGCTAATAGAGGCGGTTCACACAAAGGTAAAAATATCCTATTTCTAGGGCTAACGGTTTTGTGTTTGGCTTTCAACTAAACAATGATATGTCTCTAGCGATAGTCAGTCCCTTACAAAAACAGGTATTGTAAAGAAATGCGATACGTACTCCACTTCAGCCGGGTGGATTATTCCACGTGTTTGTATAACTAAACTAATTACGCGCCTCTGAGTCATTCTCTTGAGGTTTCAAGTTGCGGTTTCCCCCTTGTCTACCTGACGAACAATTCAGCGCTAAACTCTTTAGCGCTGTGACCACGACAGGAAACAAACGTCAAGTGTGCGCCCCATGGCCACCTTGCCTCCTTTTAACCTTCAATACTACCAAAAATTCCTGAATTTTTAATCATTTCTAAAAATCAGGAAAGGTTTGCTAAACGTACAAAATTCGGCTTGGTAAGTGCATTATATACTGCCGAACATGTTCCGACCGTCCCCTCCCATATTGAATCAGATGCCACGTATTTTTCCTAACATCAAGTTAATTAAAGGAGCTTCATTTCTTAAAATCGTGGCCGATAATCTGAAATTCATTTTATATCAAGTTGCATCAAAAAAGTCTTGAAAATTATGTGATACAGTCTAGTCATTGCCTCGTGAAAAGCCCGCTTGACGCTCTAATTATTAACAAGTGTTTGTCTCTTGACGAATCCTGCATAAATTTCAATTTTATAATGATTGCTAATATCATAATTGCTAGTATCACTCCGCGCGCATATGTCGAGAGGTCGCAATATAGTATGTCTACACCGACTTGATGGTGCCCACATTACCTAGAGTTAACCTACCCTGGTTCCAGCGGCCCTGACAAATTAAAATCAAGCAACGATTATAAGCCGCGAAGTAGAAAACCCATCAGATCTTGAACGCCACTTTGCAGCTTAAAATTATGGCATAGGATTACCTTTGGAGCTGGAGTAAAGTACTAAAGCTGTTTTCTGCTGGACTCGTATGGCATATGGTCTCATATGGTCTCGATATTTTACCTTACCACACAAATACCACACATGCAAATATTTCATTTACCTTGGTTATCCATCCCGACATAACTTCATTTTCAGGCATCTGTGCCAGGAGAGGGCTGGCCGTAAACTTCCGCATCACGTTATGCAAAACTAAAAACACAACCAAAAATAACACTTAACTTGCGGTTAAATTAGTCGTCGGTATGTCAGTATTTTCTGAGGGTTTCCTACGGCGCCGCCTTTCTTGTAGCATTAATTAGTCAAACTTTTAAAAAGCCACGATCATTTATAGCAGATTACATTTCTGCGTTTAATTGATGCTATCAAGGTGTGCGCAAGCAACGCCGAATATTTCTCGTGCTAATTGTTAAGAACATTTACACTGAAAAATAACATCTGGACGGGCGTGAGAACAGTTTCTTCCCCAAGAAGAAGAATCTTTTTTCAGATTATTTTCTTAAGTGATCTGTTTTTGGGCAATTTTGACCAATCAATGACTTGCTCTGAGCCAAGACATGTAGCTATTGTAATATGTCGCCCGTAACTTTGCATTATCAGTACCTCTCAGCCACTCGTCCACCTCTTCTAATGTTTCGCCAGTAAGATAATAAGTCCTGTTAGGTGTTGAGACCTGAAAAAGCAGTCAGCCATTTCAAAATCGACAAATCCAAAATCAAATGAGGTCGTATAATTGGAAGAGAATAATCAAAATTACACATTCGCTGCAAAAAATGGATTGGCATAAAGACGAAGCCCACACGGGCCCCGCCTGCAAACTACGGCATACTGCCAAACCAAAAAATATATATTAGAAATATAATTAGGTTGAGATTTTGGGCTTACCTCTATGGTCAAATCACCTTCTGTTCTTGATATTCGACAGGAACCATCCAAAGGAACTTGGCCTAAAGGTTTACGGTTTACATCAGTCTGTACAAAACAATACAATGATAAAATTAAATATTTGTACATCCTTACCGACAAAGCACGAGTACATCAAGCGTTAATTTCATTGGCTAAGGCTGTGTTCATAATGTATGGCAGAGGGGTGGGGGGGGGGGGGGGCAGGTGAAATCTTTAAATGACAAAGAGATTCTCAAGACACCCCCTTGAAGTCCCCAAAAAAATAACTATCCCCCCCGGGCAATCTCTCGTAGCTTCCTCTAAAAATTTTGCATCTCCCTCAGTTGTCTGAAAAAAATTTTCAAACCCCCCCTCCCCCCATTTTACTGGTAAAAATTTTTCCGATCCTCCATAAATTTCACCTGCCCTCCCCCCCTCTGCCATACATTATGAACGCAGCCTAAGATGAATAATGACTGACGTTTACCGGGGTTTTGTAATAATACAGTTTGCCATCTTCTAAAACGAACCATCTTTTCTTCCAGTTTTTGATTCGACCACCGAGTTTAGTTAAGTAGCCTTCTTTCCTTTGGTCTTCCTGTAGGAACGAAACATTATGTTAAAAATTTTTCAGTAGTGTTGCGACATAGTTTACCTTTGAATCGGTTTTAGAAATAAAACTATAGATAATTCATAGGGTGACAGCCAGAAAAGTATCTAGAGCAAATTACGCTAACCTTTTTCAAGCTGACCGTAGTATACGCAGCACAAGTTTTAAGTACTTTTTCTGTCTTTTCTTGAAAGCGATTCGAATTTTCTCCCTCCGAGGTCTCTGATTTTACATCAGAGTCGACAGGTTTAAGGTAATCGTCGCTGCATCTACTAACGTTGTCGTCATCATGATCTGAGGAGTCAGTTGACTCTCCTGAAAAAGGCGTGTTACGAATTTGAGATGCTCGCTGAAAAGAAGAAAACAGTATTAGTAAAAGACCATACGGTTTACATAATTTGAAGTGCCTTAAAAGCATGGTCACTTCTCAGATGGACTTCTGATGTTTAGTTCTAGATTTTTCGGTGCTTCTGATTTATGAATAACATTGTTCTACTTTACGAATAGTAACTATTTGAAATTGAAATCCAATTCCGTTTTTGATTCGTTTTACTTGTTTCAACTTCTATTTTTTCTTCGAAAATTTGAAAACATTCGAAAATATGCCTGTGGAATTACAGGCTGCGCAAAGCCTGGACCAGATACAACGCGCGCGCGTTTGGCAAGCTTTCAAAAGCGCGGGAAGCTTGGAAGAAAAGCGAAGCAAGAAGAAGGAGAAGAAGTAAAAAACATGGCGAACTTTCAGCTCTTCTAGTTCAGGTAGAAAGCGCTTTATTATGTATTTATTTTATTGATAGCTAAATAACGTCTCTGAGAAACTGCCAAATAACTAACAAACTCAAGAATTTCAAAAACGATCAAACAACAAAGAAAGAAGAGTCCACCAACAATGACATCTTTTGAAAACAACTGAGTATCGTAAGTTTTTGAGCTAAGAGAGTAGAAATACCATGAACATTAAAGCTATGACGTGCTAAACTCTCTAATCTCAAGTTAGGAAACAGCCTTACCCCTTTGAGTGTAGCGTAAACTGGACAGGGCGCCTGATCCTAAATAAAAGAGAGAGAAAACATCTAAAATCAAACTCAGAATTTACACACTATCATAAACCCAAGTAATTCTTATACATACCCCAAGTATTAGGTTTTTGGTGCTTTCGAGAGTAGCGTAGGGTGGTGAGTCAGTACCTGATAAGATATATAAAAAATATGTTAGTTATTGCTGTTTTTCAATCATTCCCAAGGGAGTGACACGGCGGCCATGTTGGATGATATTAGTCTATATTACAAAATCATTGACAATTCTTTTGTAAAATTCAATCAAGATGGCGGCTATGACGTCATGCGCAAACGAAGAATAGTAAGTCATATAATTATTAAAAATACGCGATAAAATTTTCTGAAAAAAACCTGCTTTCTGCTCTTAAGATACCTTTTAAGATTGCTATTTTAAGAGACTTTTTTACATACACAATTTCACATACCTAAAGAGGTCGATGAATCACTCAATTTCACCCAAGATGGCAGGCTTGGAGCTATACTATCACAGTCAATGTTTTCTTGAGATGAATCACTTGGTAAATAACTAGTAAACTCTCCTAGTGTTCTAACTATGTCTTTTGAATTGGTGAAATTTTGGGGGATGGGTGGGACAGGAGGTGGAGTCATGCTTTCATCAAAGCGAGGGGGAAGGGGTGGAGGAGGTGACTGTGGTGCTTCACTATTATTTCCTGACCTCCATTTTGATTGTATAGGCTTTACTATAGCTTCATATAAGCTGTTGACATCTAAAGTTGATGGGTCATTTGAACATAGGGAGGTGACACTATTAAGAATGCTTCTTTGATTGTGGTCCTCTGGAAATGGATCTTTACTGGCACTGATAAAGTCAAAAGGATTAGAGTAGGCATCTGCCAAGCTGTCTCTTTCAGAGTCTATTGTTGTGTTACTTTCATGTCGTACCAGTTGCATGTAAGGACTAGTGTTTTCCATGTCATGCACTTGAATGTAAAACTTTGCTCTGTTTCCATCATTTTCTTTTCCTCTTTTTAAAGACATATAATAAGACACTTTTCCAGGATTTTGTTGTTGGTCAGTTTTGCCAGACTGGCCAATGTATCTAGGAATCTTAGATGGGGATTTTCCACTTGATGACCTCTTTATTGCAGTTTCAGAATTGTCATTTTTAGATTGATTTGTATCATCCTTTTCATCTGTCTGGTCATTCTCTCTTTGATGGTCACCAATTTGTGCATCACCTGTACTAGTCGACATAGGGGAAGATGGCACTTCAACAGATGTTGGTGAAGTAGGGATATTAGTTTCCAAAGGTGTGCAACAGCCTGGACACTTTTCAGATGATGATACTCCATTCTCCTGGCTACATGTACATGTATTATTCTCCTGATCTTTTACTGGGGGTTCTAATATTTGGTATTCTCGACTTTCATCATTATCAAAATCAGCAAGCTCTTCAGAAAGTCTTAAAACTTGGTCTGCAATAAACACATAAGTATTTTGATAAAATCTAACTGATGGGCTATTTTAAATCCTGTATTCTATTATGGATTTTTATGTAGCCCACTAGCATATAAATCAAAATTAACTATTTTAGTGTATAGTTATTAAACTTGCTAATTATCAAATCCTTAATGCCTTGCCATGCACATAGTTTGTTTATTAAGTACCATGCATTAACCACTACAATCTGCTTTGATATTGTCCATCAAAACTCAATATGGTAACCCAGCACAAGATCTAAATAGATGCTATAAAGAAAAAGGTTTTATAGCTCTCATACCTTGGCTGAATTTAAGCCTGACTTTCATTTCCTTAATTAAAGTATCTGCTTGGTGATTAGCCTCCCTTAGATTGACATTCTCTCTCTTCATGTGCTCAATCTCTAATCTTAATTGAGATGACTCCATGTCAACCTACCACATAATAAAAGAAGAGGGTATAAATTTTGCAGTTCCTAAAAGGAAGCAATATTTATAAAATGTGTGTGTACTTACAGTCACAAGCTATAAATGGAATACCAAGAAATAAAATAAACATTAACCCAATTTTTCAATTACCAGTACATTCCATTTACCTGTTTGGCTGGAATTTTCATGATTTAAAGAAACATTTTAGAAAACAATGGATTACCTGGGACATTTTAGTTTGAACCCATTCTCTAATGCTTGAAGCCTTGGCTTCTATTTGCTGTGCATGTTTAATTCGTTCTTGTCTCTTTAACAAATAAGAAATAGAGTAAATCATTTAATTTTAAATGCATTCAAATCAAAAATAAAAATTATTTTCTATTAAATACCTCTGATTCCAAGTCTTTGTTTAAATTACAAATAACTGTTTCGTTTTCTTTTAGTTTGTTTTCCAACAATGTAATCTAGAATAACAGAAAACAAACCTTCAACTGCATTTTTTGACAATTATTTCAACATCTTTTGCAATACGGTCAACTCTAGCTTTACAGACACCCTGATATTATGGACACCTCACTATTGTGGACAGAAAGAAAGTCCTCAGCCAAAATAATGACGAAGGAATGACCATAATTAATTCTTATCATTGTGGCTGCTTGCTACATTACAGACACTAAGTGACCTTCCCAGGGGAGTCCACTGTAAAGAGAGTTGACTGTAATGTGAAAATAGACAAAATAATACTAAAATTTAAAAAAATGTAACACACTTAATTTAGAAAATGGATAAACTCTGAGATCCATATTTTTCTTTTTATTCTTATATGTATTTACCTTATGCATAGCTTCATTGACTTGTTCTTCTGCGCTGGCATTTTTCTCTTCCAAGTCTTTAACCTGCGAATTGAAATCAATCGATATCAGAAATATTTCTCATCAAGATTTTTTCTATAAAACTGTGCATGTGTGTGCCATATAACATAATTATTACATGCTAACATACAAACATAGCCATCGCATGTTTAGGATTATCATACAAAACCATATAGATGTAAACTATAATCCTTTTACCTTGCATGCCTCCTTTACAGCCTTTGCTTCTGCACTGGCAGCTTTTTGTTCTAATTCATTAACCTAAATTATGGGTCAAAGCCATTATATGCATTAATTAGTACAACATTAGTACACAAAATTAGCAAGACTGTACATCTATTTTAATCATGTTAAATATATATCACAATATATCTTCATGCATTTCATTTGTTTTAGACATGAAAAAAATTACATTTAAATCTTAATATTCATAAAGTATATACCAACTGTGAGTACAATTTCCCAGAGGACCCCATTAATAAGGGTACTGTAAAAAGCATTTAACTTAAACAACTTCTAATTTAAATGTCAAAAAACCTGTAATTGGCTTTGAAAGTCCATAAACAAAATTTACAATATATGATGCCATAAGACAGCATTTACAAGAAGTCAAAGTAAGGGAACTTTGGTAATTGGATGACTTTAGCATCGAGATAACACACTGCACCCTTTTGTAAAAACGTTTTTTTGCATTTTCTCATGGAATATGACAGACAGTAACAGGAAAGAACTGCCTTTATCTAATCCGACTGAATAGCTGTACCAAATAACTATGGTTAACCCAAAAATCTAACTTAATATATCTTATCATGATACTATCAATTAGTCAAAGATGGACTACATCTAAGTGAAGAAACTTCTGACCATTAGCCAAAGGATATTGGTACTTTAGTATTACAATCAGAGATTTGTATGGTGATTATATAGATAAATGGATTTCCTGTGAGTGGTTAGCTAGGAGTGCTTATTCTTTGAATAAAGATGTCTGGAAAAACTATAATAATTTATCTTAGGCATATATAACCTAAGGGGTTCTCTAAAGATGTTCTCTAAAGTCCAATGGTTGACTTTATAGTATCTGATAAACTACTTTTCTGCTAATAGCTAGGACTGTCTAAATTTCATTTGAATATTCATTCCAATAATATTTTGCTTAGACTGAAAAACTATGACAATCTTTTAGACATATAGGTAGACTTGATGTTCCTGCTTGATGTTCCCAAAAAAACTGTTCACCCACAGTGTTATAAAAAGATTATAAAGATAAACTGCTTTCCTGTAAGTAAAGCTGGAAGTGAGTATATGTCAATCACATATGTACTCTGTACATTGGGTTGGTCTGGGAAAAGGACAATGATCTAGAGATAGATAAACTAAAGCTGTGCACTAAAGATAAATGAATGAAATATCAATATCATTCATGCTGTCTACAGTGATGGCCACCCACCTGTATATTACAGTACTTTTAACAAAACAAATACTAATGCAACATTTATTTTTTTATGCCAAAATAAGTAACCTTATGTTATCTGCAGTGGGATATTTCAGTTAAAAAATCATGTGCATTATGATAATTATTGCCTCTTGCACATGTATACCCTAACTCCTCTAAATACGTCCCAGTTCAGGCTACATACATGTAGAATAGACAAGGTGAAGTCAGGTACACCAATATACCTACAAGCTTTTGAAGCACATTCTTAATTTAGCTTGCATATATAATCGAAAGAACCGGAAGAGTGTCAATATCAATATTTAGAATTAGAAAGATCTTAATGGGTTCTGTTATGGGAGTATGAGCCAAGCTGGCATCCATACATCCTGTGGAACAAGTATTATTTATTATGCATCACGAACAGATTAAATAAATTTAATACATTTTAATATATAATTTCAAAACAATAAATTACCCACTTAATAATATACCATTCAATTTTTTTTGACCGCGTTAAAAAAAACACAAAATTATCACTATTTAACTAAACAAGAAAAACTCATATTTTTCATAGAAATTATTTTAAGCTAGTTTATATTTTTGAAACTGGAGACTATAGTGTGCCATTGAATTCTCATGTTTTTGGAATAAATAATATGAATATTTGTAGGGTTGTTAGTGTACAAAGTTTCCATCCTTGAGTCTCTACGGGGACACCATTCGACGCGAAATTACTAGAGATCTTATCGGTTAGTATTTCATTCTATTCATTCCAAAACAACAAGCAATATTCTTATTGTACGACTTGTGTGTCTGTTATTGTTGCAAAATACAATCAACAGATTTTTGAGAAGATGACAAGTTGTTACGATTAATACTCTTGTATAAACAGATAACTAAAGTAGAGTTTAGATGTTACAATTTTATCGAATCTTTCAAATCATCAGACACCACATGCACATAGTCTTATCAAGATCACTGCGAGCACAGTATAATGGCGGACACCATGAACTAACTAGGAAAATAAAATGTTTAATTGTTTGCGCAAAGTTTTAGGCTTCAACATGCCCTAAAAATCTACTAGTAACAGTACCACCTTCTTTTGTTTATCTTTCCCTTTCCCGGCGAGAACTGATCTAACCCCGGGTCTAAAACGATCGCGTAGTCGTAGCCATCCGTATAGCCAAATAGAGAAACAAACACTTTAATTTTACTTTCATACTCATTGAATGACAAAACAATTAGTTTCTGCCAATGCAAAGAGTCAATGATATGTCTTTTGTTGAAGTAAATTGAAGCAGATTTAAATAAGCGATGATTATATAAAAAAGAAAAATTCACATTAGACATGTATAAAGACCTAACAGCTTTACAAGCCCGACTCATGTCGGGTCGAGATTTCAATTCAGCTGGGTCAACACTTGTTTCTGGAATTCCAATATATATTAACTGTACATTTGATGTATATTAAAATCCTATGATTAATAATTTAACACTTGAAAGGGTGGTTACAGTCTTGACGATGGTATAAATGGTATCAATAACTCGTGGTTTATTTGGAACAATCGAACATTCCATCATAAAATCATAAAATTATTCTGAGGTCAAAATCAATTCACGAAACAAGAACATTCGAATATAGCCAAATATTCCTTCTTTTGAGAATCCGTTCACAGCTGTTAGTACTTTAATCCTTGGAGAATTTAATCACATATTGAAATATTTGAAGGGAGTTTTCAGTGGCGATCGAACGAATATATTTTACCTTTTGTCCTATGACTTCGCGAACTTTAGCGGCCTGTTCTCTGAAACGTGCTAACTGTTCTTCTAAAACACCACAACGACTTTTCCAGTCCGGTTCATTGCCCTCCATAATGATAATGCAGTAAATTCACTTCGGTTTTAATACCACATAGATGGTACCGTGTGTTATCGTTCTCCTTAGCTGTCAATCTTTTGACGCGGTAATCTTCTTGAGTTTCGTATAACAGACTGTACAAAACGAATATCGATTTGCACTTTTAGTTAACTGTTCATGATGCGAGACAGTTCACCAACTGCATTTCCCAAATTATGTCCTGCTCTTTTCAACCAACTATTCTAGCAATGTTCAGTGACGAAAGGCCTCGGAAGTCAGTAATACAAATAGAGGAAGACGGTGGTGACTCAATTGTTTTGAAGATTAATACGTGACTAAGTGACCTATGCGATTCTTAACGCGCGCGCCGTAGCGTAAAACTATAAGTGATCTCAAAATGTCGTGCTTTAGCGTTGCACTTATCGTGGAAACGCATAAATAATTCAATGTAAAGACTGTCTGGTTGATATGCTAATAGTACCTTTTCTTCCGGAGAAGCCATCAAACTAGATTTATTTCTTGACCACTTGCTTGACGCACAAACATATGTATACTACAGGCATTATGGTTTGAGCGGGCTGTTGTCTGGCCGAAGATATCGATTGATGTGTCAGGCGGCTGTTTGTTGTTCAATTGTTGGGCCCCCTGTGCATGGCTGTCACGCTTCATGTGAGAGACTACATATTAATCAGTTTATAAAACGTATTCTATTATGTATGATTCAAATGTTCTTATTATGGCGGAGGAGGTTGATGTTATCATCATAGCGCTGGGATAAGTGGTACGGTGAAAACAGAACTGTTATTCTATGACAAAAAAAATGATGGTCATGTGATCAATAGAAAAATATTCATGCCCAAATGTTCACCTTCCAGGTCTTCGTGCAGCCAAAAGTCTAAAAGACAAATATGGACTCAGGGTACTCGGCCTGGAGGCAACTGAGGGATAGAGTTGGTGGAAGAACTTTGAGTAAAGGTAAATATTGTTTTGTTTACTCTCAGTGGAAAATAATCATTGTTCTCCATCATAGACCAACTATTAAGAAAAAATGTTTGTTTCACAGTCAAACATCAATGATAAACAAAAGGAATAATACTCAAGTGAAGAAGAAATGATCTGAAATAGAAATACATTGATTATGCTAATCATCACTAAAAATCAACTTCTAAATTCTAAAAATCAATTTCTAAATTCCAATTGGAATCCAGTGGAAGAAGAGCCACTCTGTGGAATCCACTGTTATAATACCAACCCGCAAATATATAAGCGCTAAAGACCCTGTTACACGTTGAATCGTTTTAGCTGAAATTTTTGTGCAACGTAATTCGCGTGCAACGGCTGCTCAGACAACTTTCTGTGCAAAATTGCGCCGCGTAACGCCCTTTTCTCAAATCATTAAGAATCTTTGAGGACCGAAACAAAGAAAATCACTTACTAGCGTTGAAGTAGGTTTGATATTGTGGACCACTGAAAAAAAGAGTCGACCAAGTTTTAAAAAAAAGTCGCCAACGTAAAAAAAAATCGTTCAGCTAAAGAAAAGTCGATGGCCCTAAAAGGGCTCCGTATTCCTGAAATATTTTACGACTGAACTAATCTTGACAAAGCTGCCATATACTTCCCAAAACGCTAGTTTACAAACTTGTTTTACTGCAACTTTCATAAACATGCGAACTCTGTGCCTGCGAGCTTCACGCTAAAATTTGCATTTAGAAGAGGCTTGGATATGGATGAAATGCTTTATTGATTTCACTAGGTGACATTTTAATTCTTTTTCAAGGTGGTAATACACTCTGGTTTGACTAGAGGTTTCATGATCAAGTATGGACTTTTAGTTTAACTTTCATGGCCCGGTTTTCGTATGACTGTGAAAAGTTCACGGCACGAACACGGTCATGACACTACTTGAATATGGATGGAATGCTTTATTAATTTTACTAGGTGACATTTTGATTCTTTTTCAAGGGTAACACACTGGTTTGATTTGAGGTTTTATGATCAAGTATGGACTCTTGGTTTAACTAACATAAAGTACAGCAATAACAATTCTTTCAAGCTACAAAAGGATTTTTTCACAGATGTCCACATTTAAGTTTTCTTTTCTGGGAAAAAAAAAAAAAGAAAAAAAAAGTTAAGATTTGTGATGAAATAAAAACCGGCAAATGAACGGAGTATTGGTGGGAATAGAACTACCAACCACTGGCGATGGACCTTGATCACAACACCAAGTTTATTCTCAATAAAAACGACGCCGAGTCCAGGATTCAAAACCAGGTCGGCTTGGTGAGAGACGCTTACGTTATACCATTATAGAACAAACCTTTTGGCTTAATATCAGACATTTCTCTCATCTTCTGTATTTGCTTGAGTCCTAACCTCTTAGCAACCCTGATAAAATAAAATGATTTTAGTTAATCTTAACTTTGGGTTACTTTTGGAAGCTTAAAGACACGTTTACACGGAGCAATCTTCTCTGCAACTTTTCTCGCAACAGCGTTGCGACGCAAGTTGCAAGAGTGTCTACATGTTCACGGTGCAAGGGAGACGCCATCATTGCCAAAAGTATAAACAAATTGCTGCAACTTGTCTCGCAACATTTTTCAAATTGCACTGTAGGTTAAACGTTGCAACGCTCTATGCAACATGCGTCACAACGCCGTTGCAAGACAAATTGCAGAGAAAATTGATCAGTGTAATCGCGCCTTAACTCTAATTGGGATACTTTAGGAGTTTTGGGGTGGGGACTTCATAGTGGTTCCATAGAGTAGCTCAGAGGATTCTTATTCCAATTTTCATAGAAACCTTCAAAGTATAAGAAATTAAAAAGCAACTATACATCTGATACACAGTCCATTTTATTATACATTTTCTTTTCTCATACATTGTAAATCAAAAGCCTCATGTGGTTTCCCCTGTGGTTTTCAAGCTACTCACCAGGTGGTAACAGATGGAATATACTGGTTTGCATAAAGAAAGAACAGAACGGGATTGGGTGAAATCCACAACTCATCCAACTTATTTGCCATGCCAACTACGATCAAGTGAGCACATTTGCTAGCATCCATTCTTTTGTCCCCAGTTGCAGGCTCTGTCTTGTCTTTGACTTTCTGATGAAAAAAAGATGGCTGATTGACCAAGTATCTTAAATTGACAAGTATGACAATTGTTTTGATATCTGTCCAATTCCAGAAAATGTCCTCAGGAGTGGATCTAGGAGTGACTAGTTCCCCCCCCCCCCCCATTAACCTTCATAAATCATCCCTTAGTAATCATAACTCATTGTTTTTGTCTCTGACAATTCTGATAGTCAGGCTGGTTTTAACTTACCACATTCACATCTTCAGTAAAGGCATTTCCTCTGATGTTAGTTGAAATTGGACCAGGGCAAACCAGTGTGACATTGATATTTGAATCAAAGATTTCTAACCTCAAACCACTAAAATATCCCTTAGAAAATAAAAGAATATGGTATATCAAACTGAGTCCTTGATGTGAAATATAACAGAATATTTGTTTGGTTATGTGTTCCAAGGCTCAGGTGCCTATCAAGGAAGGGGGGGGAGGTTGAGGGAGGGCAAACACTGCCCTCCCCCCCCCCCCAACAAAAGTTTAAATAAAGAAACATAGACCTTCCCTTTTTTCTTTTTGGTGAAAGATAAAAAAGTCTAATTACTTCCAGGTGATTTTGTTTCTCATCAGCCGGAACGATTTAGCCAATAATGAACATTAATTATGTCCAAAGTTCAATATTTTCTAGTTCCAGGTTTTCAGCTCAATAAACCAAAAGCTTTTGCTCGAAAATAAAGAAAATAACACTCATACTAGTCTCGGAAAGATTCACCAAATACCTTTTTAAAAAATATTATTTTTTCGTTGTTGTTTGTGGAAAATATTTTGTTTTGACTTAGATAATAGAAAATACTTGGAAATTTTCACTGTGACAAACAATGCTGGTTTTTATTTGAGTTTTTCGTTGGGCATGACTACAAGTTACTATTTTACACATCGCATTTTGGCACTGAAACTTCATTTATTTTATGCACGATTCCTGTGAATATGAACTCAGAGAATGAAATGCATAAGCATGTGTATTGCTGGCATAATGGAACATTGCCCACTTCCCCTAATCTATATATGAACTACATTTCTTAATGAATGTAACAATCAATTGAGACACACCTGCAGAGCAAACTTTGTCGCACAATATGAGGCAGACATTGGTGCACCTGAAACCAGTAAATGTAAATGCATTTTTGAAAATCTAACATTGTATAGCATGATAAAGCACTATTTAAACTTGTTCTGGTAGCTGAGTCAGATAAAACTCTGGCTTTTTCAAAAGCCATAGACACTTGCATACATATGGAAATGTGGCAAGGCAAATTCAGTACTGCAACATGTTTTACCATTTCCATATCTATTGTCTGATTGGATAACTCGTGTGAAAAACAAGAGTTGGATTCAAAAGTATCACAGGCAGGCACGGGAGCAACACAATTTCAGGTAAAAGAATTTTGTTTGTTTGCATTTTTGGTAGCCTTCTACACAGATGTTCTTAGGGTCTGTCACGTAACCACTCCCTCCCCATGAACGTCTGCTTGCTTGAGCATAAAATTCCCCAATTATGAAAGCCATTCTAAGTAGGTTTTATCTTTACCGACTTTTCCAGCAGCACTGCTTGTAACGACAATATGGCCACTCTTTCTTTTCACCATGTGTGGCAACACTGCTTTTGTTAATGATATCACTGCAAGGGTATTCAACTTTAGCATGGCTTCCTCTACTGCAATACCTGGGGTGTCAATCACCAATCCTCTCTGACTTCTCCCACTGTTATTTACTAGAATGTCAATCTGATGGTAATAGAGATAACTGATGTTTATCTTTTTGTTAATGATGAGCAGTGCACCAAGGAATAGACCATTTCACGGATCCCGTTGCTCAACCTCAGCCTGGTCAGCGTGCAATACATTCTTTAGAAATTGCCTACAACCTGTGAAATTTTTAAGTGTTTCAATTGTTCGTTTATGTGTAAATTCCTTTCATTACTGCGGACTGTAGTCAAATTCTAAAGAATAATTACACGCTGACGAGGCTGAGATTGAGTAACGGGATCCGTGAAATGGCCTATTGGCATAAGCTTGTTCTGATCCTGGATTACTTGGGTTTTTGATATTGTAAGAACTTATGCTAGCTAGGGGCTGCACTCTGAAATTTGGTTTTTTGCTGCCATCAATCAAAAATAATCAGTCCAGTACCTTTTACATTTATGACTGGCGGCAGTAAAAATGAACTACACAACAAGCCGTTAAAATGACTGAGATTGCAGAATATTGAAAACTGCAGCAAATCTCATTGTTTGTTTGTCTTCAAGAGGTAAATTCATGCAGGTGGATTTGGTTGCTAGCCATCCCCTTCAGAGTTTTAAAAATAAGAATAAGGCGAAAGGGAAAATCTGAAAAAAGAGCTATATACTAAAATCGACAAATAAAACAATGAGACCCTCATGCATAATTTCTAGATCTAATGTCATGAAGAAATTTCAAGTTCAAAGTTAATTCCAGATACTACAAAACCCACAAATGGTACATGTAGCTCCTGATTGTTCATCCACGCAACATTGCTAGCTGAAGGGGATCTGGAAGACTAAACCTGCAACTTATAGGAATTGGGCTTCCTGTGTTGTCAGGGTCTCAAAGTATTTATTCACCAATAGACCAGTTTCGAATTGCAAATTATCGCTGTGTTCCTTGATTACAGACTCATTTGCACAGGGTTAGCCTCGTATCAGTGTTTAAATATTCACAAATACCAATGGTAAAGTAAAGAATGCACAACTTCAACAATACAAACACTTTGAAACTCAATGGGCCTTAACTGGAACACATGAATATTCTGCACAAACTCGAGGCTAACCCTGTGCAAATGAGTCTGTAATCAAGAAACACAGCGGTAATTTGGAATTCAAAACGGGTCTATTATAGCTTGCTAGGTAACAGCCACCCCTTTCCAATGATCATGGATCTGCCACTAAGTCAACTGGATAATCACTGATTTAAGCAACTGGGCTCTGATATGTTAGAAAGACATAAAGCTATTGCAAGTTTGATAACAAAAAAGTTAGCCAAGAGCTGGATTACTTTGTGAAAATGATTTAAAACAGTATCTGTGTGTTCCTCATGTTTTTCAAATTCTGTAACATCCATGGGAAGAACAAGAATGTCTTGGTCTATGTTATACGATGGGTAAAGAGGTTGGGCGATTTCTGTGGAATGGAGAAAATAATATGTGTGAAAATAAACAAAAGAAACTACTTCATTATCTAATGATGAAAATCACCTTCAAAAGTAGGGATACAAAATTCCCAAATCTTACTGCAGTTTTCTATATTCTGCGAACTCGGCAGTTGCAAGCTGCATGCTAAAATTTGATTTTTCGCTGCTGTCAATGAAAACTCCCCACCCACCCAGCCCATACTAATATCTACTAAATTTTCCAATCAAAGCCCTGTCACTTTAAACTTTTGCATACTAGTTTCTTAAATTTTTCAAGCTTTCATTCCTTCCCCTTTTTCCCTGTGAGCATGGCCTCTCCTCTTTTTCTCTTTTCTTTTAAGGAGGGAAACTCTACTGATGTAGAATATTTCTTTTGTTATACTACAATAGATGAATGAAAACAGTTCTATAACCATTTTTTTACTGGATACACATAATTTGCATAAGCAAATGCAATGCAAAATGGTAGAGGATTAATAGAGGTTTTGCACTATCATGTGCCCACACCCATAATACAGCTTGTGGTTAGATGGCAGAACAATAAAATCCCTTTGCTTTTGGGAATTAAATTCTTTCTTGCTTAAAACGATTGTATTGTTCCTGCCATCTGACATGGCTGCCATCACATGATGGTGCAAAACCTCTATTCAGGGGAGGCAGAACTGGGGGGGCCGGGGGGTATGTGCCCCCCCACCAAATTTTCTTAGCTTCTGTCGCCCCTGCTATTATTAGTATGTTATTTGACGTGGCAGCTGTCAAAATCATGCAGAGGTTTTTGAAAGTTTTACTAAGTTATCCCACACATGCGCGACAAATATAATGTCCTACATCAGCAGAGTTTATTTCCCCTTCTCAATTAATACCAGAGAAGAAATAGGCTCTACTAACAGGGAACTCCCCCTTACACCTCTAACATAAATGTATGTTGTTTAGTAAACCTTGGCCATCATTTCATTCTCACTGTGGATGATGTATCGTCCTCTCTATTGGAGCAAAAAATAACTTTGCAATTCTTTAGATCGATCTCGCGTTCTTTATAGAACGATCACTATGTACGTAAATTTATAATAATTTATGTCAGATGAACAGCTGATGAAGGTGAATTATGAATTAGCACAAAAGAACTTGAAAATGATTCATAATTCCTTACCACCACATTTTCTCTTCACTCTCTCCAATTCCTCCATCCTTCTAGCCGAGAGAACCAACTTACAGCCACATTTCACAAGTTCATAGGCAAGATTTTCCCCGATTCCACTAGAAGCTCCTGTGATCCAAGCAACACGGCCATAAAACTGACTCTTGGGAGAAGCGCCAAACTTCTCGCAAAACTTTAACGTGAAATCACAGTCACTGAGGAATATTAAAACCAGCAAAATAACGGGAATAGCCAGCAAAACGTAAAGGAAGACCATTTTTGACGGGATTTTTCCTCGATTGTGAAACTTACGTCTCTTCAAGGGCTTTTTGTTTATACAATCGATAATCAATCGATATGACACCACAGGAAACCCAAATTCAGCTAAACACTGACATCTGACAAATTTTCAATATGAAAAAGATATCCTCATGCTTCGAAAATAAAAAAGGATCTTATCTGCTGATTAAAACAGTCATTCAAACTGTATCCTTTCTTAGAGTTATAATTGAATTGTTGAGGAAAGTTTTCGTGACTCCAGTAAATGTTTTGGGTTTCCTGTGGCTAACGCATTTATTTTTGAGACGGAAGGGTAACGCTTTGTTGCGTGTTCTAGACACAGTAGCTTTGTTTTGAGTTATTAATTTGCTATATATAGAATCTAAATGCGAATATGAAGCTATTACAAGCCTGTGGAGGGCTTAGGAGTCAATTCAGTCGAATCCAGAGGTTTTTTATTACCCGACAGTCACAAAAAGCCGTGAACACATGGAGTCCTTTAGCAACTGCCTTCAACTACCCTCAAGCAAGACAAGACTATTCTCTCAAAGCTACTGGATTATTTGGACTCTCAGAGCTTAATACTAGCTCGGGCTTTCATAAAATGAAGCGTCAAGCCTTGATAGAAGGGGAGAAGTTAGTAGAGAAGGCTTTAAAATTCGAATCAAACCTAAAGTTAGTCGGTGTATTTGATGAATTGTCTGACGTGCTGTGCAGAGCCGCTGACTTAGCAGAGTTTGTGCGAATGTCGCATCCAGATAAAAAATTCCGAAAAGCTGCAGAGGAAACGTCTTTAGGGATAAGTGCCTTTGTTGAAACGTTAAATACTAATCGTGAATTATACCGTTCAATGAAGTCGGTATTCACAAACCAACAAAGTAAAACTATGGATGAAGAGACATTGCAAGTTGCAGAGCTTTTTCTCTTTGACTTTGAATTGAGTGGAATACATCTGGATGAAGAGAAACGCAAAAAATTTGTGGAACTTCAAGAAAAAGTCTTGATCCTTGGGGCCTATTTTAGTAATGGTGCAAGCATGCCAGTTTTAGTACCAAAGAGAGAATGCCCAGATAAGATAACTAGTTCCTTCCCTACTAGTGGTAACAATGTTTCTATAGATACCATGTACCTTGAGTCATCTAATGAAGAGCTCAGAGCACTGGCCTTTAGAGCTCACCTCCAACCTATAGAGTCGCAAACGCAGTACCTTGATTTACTTTTGTCAGGACGAAATGAGCTCGCCAACTTGGTTGACTTCCCAACTTATGCTAGCCGTGCACTGAAAGGAACAATGGCAAGAACACCGGAGAATGTATTAGATTTTTTAAAGCTTACTGCAAAAATGCTTGAAAAACCAGCAAAAAATGAGTTGGAGATTCTAACCAACATGAAGCAGTTAGACAGTCAAAGTAAAGAAAGTCGCATAATGCCATGGGACTTACAGTATTATATAGGGATGGCCAAGTCACGGAGCTTAAATTTTAATTCTTATTCTTTATCAGCTTACTTTCCACTTGGATCTTGTATGGAAGGACTGAATGTTCTTTTTCAAAATCTTTATGGTATTAGTTTGGTACCAGAAGATGCATTACCAGGGGAGTTATGGTCTCCTGAAGTACAGAAGATTGGAGTTGTGCATGAGACAGAGGGCCTGCTTGGGTATATTTATTGTGACTTTTTAGTCAGACCTGAAAAGATCCAACAAGATTCTCATTTTACAATAAGGGGTGAGAAATTAAATATTTGTTTTGTTTTCCTCCCTTCCTAAAGAATAAGTAGTGGTTACATAATATTATAGTGCAGGGCTCAAAATAGCAGCATGCCAATGGCCAAATTTCAAGTTTTGCAGGTGGAAATAATGATACTCTGCTAAATAAATAATAAAATGGCATGCAAAATTTATTGGAATGACCTCCTTTTAGCATGCTTTCTTACTATGGCAGGCTACAATTTTTTTTCTATTTCGAGCCCTGTAGTGGTTACATATTGATTTTATACCAGCCTTCATTTATGAAAGCTGATTCATATTGGCAGGATAAGACTGTCGTATCATATTGTATTAGTTTGATTTCACTGTCTGAGGTATTTATGCTGACAAGAGTTTTGATCTCATGTTGCTTTAGGTGGCAGAACACTTCCAGATGGCTCATACCAATCACCAATAGTAGCAGTAATTTGTAACTTTCCTCCTCCATCACTGTCAGCTCCATCACTACTGACCCATGGCATGGTTGAGAATCTTTTCCATGAAATGGGCCATGCCATGCACTCTATGCTTGCTCGCACAAGATATCAGCATGTAACTGGGACAAGATGTGCCACAGACTTTGCTGAGGTTCCATCGGTCCTCATGGAAAATTTTGTGTGGGATCCTAGAGTGTTATCCAAGTTTGCCAAGCATTATCGTACAGGACATTCTCTCCCAGATGAAACAATTATAAAATTAAGTCAGTCAAGAAACATGTTTGGAGCACTTGAGATGCAGAGACAAGTGCTGTACTCCATGGTGGATCAGGTTTATCATGGAAAGCATCCTTTAGCACAGTCAACCACTGATACTATGACTAGCTTACAGAAGCAGTACACTGCTATACCTTATGTTGAAGGTCAGTAATCTATGAGTAAATAGCCAATGTGCATGAGCACAAATTTAAAGCACAAAGTGCGATTGGAAACCAAATACTTATGCCTTTTTGGAAAGTATTTCAACAATGAAAATATCAAAGTAATTGTTTTCTAATAGTAACACACACACACACACACATATACATACTTATTTCAGTAAAGTTAAAATCACGGAGCTGAGATCACTGAGGATAATGGAAAACTTTTCATATCAAACAAGTAAAGATTTTTTGATACAATTTGCAGCTTGAGGATGCTCAGAAGAGGTGAGACTAACTGGTAAAAACATGCAGGTCCATCAACACAGTTATCAAGCGGTTGAAACATGTAAAATGTATCTACCCATAATCCTTGTCAATCTTACCTTTGTAGCTTTTCAGGTGACTAACTTTTTTGAAATAAGTATATATATATACATATATAGGGCCCTATATAAATCATAAATCATTTATTATCCCATTAATTGTTTGTCACATATGTAGGTACTGCATGGGAACAAAGATTCAGCCACCTTAACGGCTATGGAGCCCGTTACTACTCCTACCTGTGGTCACGAGCTGTTGCATCAAAGGTGTGGCACCAGTGTTTTGCTGCTGATCCCTTCAACAGGGAAATGGGTGAAAGGTATCGGAATACGATGCTTGCGCATGGTGGCAGTAAAGATCCCAATAGCTTAGTGGCTAACATGTTAGGACATGAGCTTACTATTAATGATATGGTGCAATCTTTATGGGATGATCTCGTTGCTTCCAACCATTTCTATCAGTGATGAAGAGAATTACAATCAAAATTTGTTGATACCCCAATGGAACAACAAAATATCCAAAAATAGAAATCCCACCTTGATGATGCTGTATTCCATTTCCAGAGGGTGGTACAGGGATCGATGTGCTAAAATAGAAAAATGTGGAGCATGATTTGTAAATTCAAGGTTTACTGTGACGCTTGATTCTTCTCTCGAAATGTGTGCGTGATTTGTGAGATTAAAAGTAAGATTCAGTTAAAATTTGTGATTTGTTAATGTGTAAAAAGCAGTAGTAGTAAATGGCTGGTTCTAGCGCACAGAATTGAAAAATACTGATCCTCTGATTTGCATCACAGAACTAATATATTAAAGTACTCTTAAAGTGCTACTCTGACGAAAATCGCTCAACTTGGATTCAGCTGAAACTTCCTAAGAATACRATAATTCCAATAATCACTGTATGAAGTGTTTTCTCAATATTCGGGACGAAAGTATGATATTTTTACGATTATTTTTTGGAGTCTGTGATGTCATACACTCAACATCGAACATTGCTTTATACATTTCTTTGTAGTTTATGATCAAAATATCAGTAGTAAAGGGAGAAATAAATACCCAAACACTCCAAAATATAATTTATAGTCACAAGTAATGTGAAATAAGCACATTAGCCACCCTTTGGGCTTCATAGGAATGAAATGAATTAAGAATTTATATACAAAGAAATATATGTAGCAATGTTTGATGTTGAGTGTATGACGTCACAGACTCCAAAAAATAATCGTAAAAATATTGAGAAAACACTTCATACAGTGATTATTGGACCTTTAAAGAGTATTTTTAGGAAGTTTCAGCAGAATCCAAGTTTGAGCGATTTTCGTCAGAGTAGCACTTTAAACATGCCCTGAATCAATAAAATATGCTAAGCAATGAAACAGATAAGCAGTCAAATTCTGAGAAAAAAGGCTGACAAAATTCTGAGAAAGGCCTGGTCAGCAAATTCCTGGAAATTAAGTAACTAGTGAAATTCCAAGAAATCAGCCAAAGTCAAATTCCCAGAACTGGCCATTTACTACTACTAAAGTACACACAGGCAATTTATATTCGGAGTATTGCTCTTAGTCGTTCAAAAACGTGGTCCTAAATAAATATATTTTTTATTTACATATAAATATTCATGCATTTGAATATGAGATGCTTACATGTCCATGATAGAGTGAAGTCATAAACCCATGAAATAGATATTTGACTAACACATTTTAGTGGACCCTAATTCCAATGTTTTCTTTTGTGTCAATGTTTTCTATTTGTCTATTACAAGCTGACTAGCATTTTCCATTTCACAGGTTTATAAATGCCTTCACTCTACTAGGTAAATTATATGAGTAAACTCTAAAACTTTTTTGATTTTTATACACTTTTCATTTCATGATGAATTTATAATTGCTTCACAAAGCAAAGGAATTTTAAATATATTTGGCAATGCATTTAATTTGGTTACAGCCATTATTTGGTTTAACGCATTTTCCCTATCATCATCATCATCATCATCATCATTATCATTATTATTATGCCATTATCTGTATTCATATTTCTAGATTATTCAAACAGAATATTTATTATTATTTTCATCATCATCTTCATCATCATTATTTTTATCATTATACCATTATTTGTATTCCTATTTCTATTAAATCATTTAAATATGCATTTCTTAAAACTTTCCGAAAATAGAACTGAAACCACCATTCTAAATGGGGCGTGAGGGCTGTCACGTAGGGAGAAAAATTACTGAAAACAAAAACTTACAAAAATAATGAAACGTGCTCAAAAACACACGAAGCGCGAGAACCAACCGAGAACGACCAATGAACGGGGAGAACCAACAGCTGTACTCGCCCCAGTTCTCCTACTATCGTCTGGCTTCCAATTTTGCCATTCTAAATACTTTAAAAGCCTAAAATCAACGATTAATCATTCTAAGGGACAACTTTGACTTATCATAGAATCTTAATCAGAGATTAGTAAGAAAGGATTTTTTAAAATTGGATTTTCCGAGATTGAGTATTAAGGTTGAGTAGGGTCTGGGTACGAGAATGTAAGCTATTAGACTAAGTCACTAATCCATTTCCATCAAAATAAGGAATCTATCACAATAGAAAAGTCGAAACAAAAAGATCGAAAATCTACTTATGTTCACTTACAGAAAAAAAATTCTTGATCTATCTAGAGCATTCAGCTCTTGGGTTGGAAAACAATCTGTCGAAGTTATCAACGTCCCTTTTTCTGGAGGACAAGTAAGTATCAAAGAGTAATGATCACGGCCATGGCCACGTTGGAGAACGGCTTGACTTCTGAACTGTTCGCATTTCTATCAAAAACTTATCGTTTTTATTCCCGTGTAAGACGAAAAAAGGCGTCGATTTGGCTCCTAACTTCCTGAGGGATGTTGGATTCTATGGACGTTTGAAAAACATTGGTAAGTTGTATCATTTTTGGTTCTTTTTCGGGGATAAAGTTTAGATCTTTTAGAGCTTTTTCGGTTGCGTCATCGATTGATGGAGGTGTGTCAGGGGGATTGTACTACTGAGCACAGAAAAGAATAAAGTGAAAATAATTTAAGATGATGGTATTTCTTTTGCCAACTTTCAATGTTTAACTCATATAGATTTTACGAGTAGTTAAGCTTGATAAATTTACTTCCAGACGCGCGAAAGGAAATTTTTTTTACCCCAAATTCAAGCTAGCTACGTCGGCCACAGGGAGCCCGGCTTGGTGATGTTAAATCGGTAAAACGATCACGTTTCATATGTTGATGACATTACATAATAATCGTAACTCAATACACCCCTATACAAACAGTCACTACGTAATAGAACACCAGTGTTTGTAACGCGAAACTTAATACCGTGATAAATTCAAATTCAAATACATAACGGCTAAGTGTAACGCACGCGTTAAGAAGAGAGAAAGGAGAGAAGGGCTGAAACAAGCTAGGTTTAGTCGTTGTATGTGTGCCAGCAGTTGATGGGACACCAGATGGGACACTTAATTTATTCATAACCAGCATGACATCATCGAAAGTGTACTCAAATGTACTAGTTCTGAGTTCGTCCATAATTGTAGGTATTAAAACTGATTTAAAAAAATACTAAATGAGTTTGTTATCAATTATATAAACTAAGAATTATTTTTGTAAACTTCGAGGACAGGCTACTTAAAAACGTTGAAGTTGGCTCTGAAGAAATATCAATTGCCGAAATATACGAAGAGCTACCGGCTCATAGTTCAGGATAAAGAAAATATAGACAACAGAGAACTTGGACGTCTCCTAAAAACCGTTTTTCCTTCAACAACTAGAGTCAGTCGGTTCTGGAAAAAAGCGGGGGAAAAAAACATTTCTACCTGTCAAGACCTTTTGTTATTTTCATTGAAAAATGGCAGATTAGGCTAGGTTAATCATAAACATGTCCCATCAACTGCTGGTACACATAACTTTAAACCAAGCTTGCCGAAATTGCCRAAAATATCATGAGAACTGCTCACAAGTTAGGAAATCAACGCTCCCTCATTTGGTTCAATCTATACTCTTTCGCTTGATCCAGGTTTAAGAGCCCTAACTCTAAAACAAGACTAGAAAATCGAGGTTTTAAAAGGGCTAGTATATTTTGTTTCAGCCCTTCTCTCCTTTCTCTCTTCTTACGGGGCGTCTAACGCTATTGCATTACAAGTTCTATTACGTAGTGACCGTTTGTATAGGGGTGTATTGAGTTACGATTATTATGTAATGTCATCAACATATGAAATGTGATTGTTTTACCGATTTAGCATCACCAAGCCGGGCTCCCTGTGCGTCGGCTACTGAATCGTTCAGTTTTTACATGATTTTTGACATGCTTTCTCAACTCCAGTCATACGCAGTTTTCCGCATATTTTCACGCATATATGTGTAATATAAACACATGAATATAAAAGTATTCAGGGCTGTAACCAGAACTTTTACAGGGAGGGTGCACATCGAATAAAATCAGACCATTGATCGTGTTTTTACTACTAACTCCGTGGCATAACTGCGTAACTAGGGATCCTGCAGGGAGGTGCACAGGCAATAATTTGCAGAACCAAAAAGAAAAAAAAAGGTAACCAAAAGAAAGCAGAACTAAAAAAAAACCTAAAACAAAGCAGAACCAAAAAAAAAAAAAAGGAAAAAGAAAATGGAGATGGATGAGTGGACCTTAAGCTTTTATGGGGGGGTACACATGCACCCTGTGCTCCCCCCTGGTTATGGCCCTGGTATTTTCATGTATGTGTGAAGGGGATTGGTTGTCAAATATATCAGATCTATGTAGTTTAATAACTAATGTTGTTTACAAAAATTATAGACATTGTATATTCCAGAAATTATTACCTATACTCCTCCAGCCCCACAGGTTTTTTTAAGACCCCCCTACCCTCGGAAATTCCAATTTTCTTCCATACGAACTGCAATTTTGTTATTTCTCTGACCCCCCTCCCACCTACCCCTTGGAAATTCCAAATTCCTCCATGGGAGGGGTGGGGAAATGGATACATTTCTGGAACTAGGAACTACACATTACACATCTGCAAGGATCAAAGCTTTATGATATTGTACTCTTATCATAAATCCAGATCAGTAACAATGGTCTTACTGTTTTCAGGTTTAAAATTATCTACTGCTGAGGCTATTGACTTAGAACACCAAGACTCAGAACATCAGCCTGAAGTTTATGTTCATAACCAGCTTGTTAAGAATCCAACAACATGCGGGCATGTCTCGCGTCAGGTAATTATAATTGTTGAGTCCCTCAAATCAAAGAAGAGACCCAAAATTTAAGTCAAGAATCAACCCTAAACTTGAGCCTAGGGAATGAAGGGTTGGTGGTGTAGTGGTAGCCTACTCATTTCTCACCTCTGGGATACTATACTAGTTGGGTTCAATTTCCAGACTCTCCCTTGAATTTTCAGGTCTCTCCCTTGATTATTTCCAGTTTTCCCCTCATTGCATGCTAAATTCAAACCAAACATGCTAAATTCCATTTCAATCTGTCAGTATAAGCTATGTGCCTGACATTGAACAGTCTCTAAACTAGATGCTGTTTTGGGGCATTGATAAAGTTTGAAGCTGGACTGAAGCTTGCCAAACAAAAGTTATAACATTTATATGTTGCATACCAGTCCTATCCTTGATGGATATGTATCAGTGAATAATGAATAAGTAGGCTTAATAATTGAGAAATGCCTAAATAGCTGAGAATAATGAATATGCTAACTATAAACACACTCAAATTTTCAATGTTCCTTTTTCTTCTAACTAGACTGCTGATGCAGTTTTCAAGGCTTTGAAAGAAGGAAAGACAGCAATTGTGATTGGTGGCGATCACAGGTATATCAAAAATGTAGACTCTCCAAAAATTACCTTTACCTTAAATTATTATTCCAAGTAAATCACTATCTATTATATGTTGCACTGTGTATATATTGTTCTTACATAAATGAATACATGAATTATACGCCTTAGTATTTTTAAAAAGGTTGTCTGGAGCCAAATGAGGTATAGGAGGTAGGCAATATAGATCATTTAAAGTCAGAAAAATAAACAACTAAACTCGAATTATCAAGGAGTTTGAAATATTTTTGTCCACTACAACCTCTGTTTTCTTGACAAGAATGATATACATATAATAGTTAAGAAACTGAGTTATTCCAGTTTTTCTTTGACCTATCTTCTATTACTTATATATTGCCTATCACTGGCCTTCAGCTCGATCCAACCTCTTTTTTAAAAAGGAAATAATAATAATAATTAATGTACTTGTTGTTTCAATTATTGTTTCAGCATTGCTACAGGCACAACATTTGGGCATTATCTATTCAACAAAAACACCTGTTTGTTATGGGTAAGAGTTGTACGATTTGACAAATATGTTTAGATGAGAACCTGCAAGCTGCAGGGTTGTGATGGCCTATGTATTACAGATACTGCGATTTTTGATATTCTGCAGACATGTAAGTTACAAGCTGCATGCTGAAATTTGCTTTTTCGTTGCCATCAATCAAATATGATCAGTTGGTACCTTCTATTCTCTTAACTGGCAGCAATGAAAACCAATTTCATAACAAGCTGTTGGAATTTCCGAGTTTGCAGAATATAGAAAAACGCAGTAATGAATGTCACGTTTAGCCGAGAGGACATAAAGGTCTAAACATCTATGGATGTAATAAAAAAAGCAGCACCTTCTCAGTTTTTTAGGACTTAATTTGATCAATGAGCTGAGCTGGCCAGGGGTTGAACCCACATTCAATTTATTTATAAACTAAGACAGACTGGATACTTGTGATCAATGCACCAAATTTAATAATTCAATGAAGATGTTACACACATTTGAACGACAGGTTGATGCTCATGCTGATATCAACTCTCCATTAATTACTACTTCTGGTAACATTCATGGAATGCCTGTCAGTTGGATTATCAAAGGGTTTCCAAGTGTGAGTATTGAATTTTGCATTTATCATTACAATATGGATATTCTTTACATTTACTAATATGTTGTAACAACAATAACTTGATGCTATAGATTTATTTGTTATATTTACAGTTTCCGGTTGTTCCTGGTTATGAGTGGGTTCACAGATGGTAGGTATCATTATGATGATGATGGTGGTAATGATGATGATGGTGAAGATGATGTTGATGATGATGATAATGAGGATGATGATGACGAGGATGGTGATGATGATAACAATGAGTATAATGATTATGATGATGATTATGATGGTGATGAAGATGAGGATGGTAGTAGCATATTAAGAAGATAAAACCAGAGCCATTCATTTACAAGAGGGACTTAAGGCTGTCGGTTATGTGCACACAAAATGAAGAAATAAGAGTTAAATTGTGAAATTCATTTTAAAGCAAATATTGTTGAATATATGAGGTATTTTTAGAAACGATAGTTGATAATCGATTCTCTTCTTTTCCTTACATTTAGCATTCCTCCTAGCAAGATAGCTTATGTTGGATTAAGGGATGTGGAACCACAGGAACAGTAAGCAAGCCTTAATTCTGTTGCAAAGGGATGGGTACTGTTCATTTTATACCAGGAAGGGGGATCATTAAACAAAATCAGGCTCAAGAGGATGGAGCACCCCAAAAAAGTCCAAGAATTTTTTATATGTTTATCATGAAAATACCATTACAACTAAACATTTCTCATAATTTTTGTCCAAGATTGTAGCTAAAAAAAAAAAACCATCATCCATCTCCATGATTAGGAATGGTTCTATACACCAACAGTTTGGTATTATTATGGAAAGGTTTCTGACACTGTTATCTTTTTTTTCTTTTAACAGAAAACTTTTAAATGACCTTGGTATTACAGCATTTTACATTAAGGATATTGATGAACTTGGTATCGTTACCACTATGCAGAAAGCTCTAGAGCAAATCAGTCCTAAGTATGTTATGTATTAATAACATAATATGAATAAAATAAAATATAGTACTAATAATATTCCCCCCCCCCCCCCATTGATATATACTAGAGTACTTAATTACTAAAGCATCACTAAGCAAAGTAAAAGAAATGGGTTGTTTGCATGATGGTGTTAGTACGAAAATGCTTCATAAATTTTCTTTCTTATTCAAATTTATATTTCCTCATGAGAATAGTAAGACAATATTGGACTGAACAGAAGAAAATGTGCATGGGATTCTGGTAGTGGGAGTCAAATGATGCTATCATGCAAACATCCTATTGAGAAAAAAGGAGGAATGGTCATTTAGTACCAACCTAGGGCTTTCATTAGGATATTAGCTAGGGTCTCAGATGTTGCCCTACCTAGTCCATCCCCCACCCCCCCCCCCCCCCCCCCCCCCCCAACCCTTTCGAGCAAGAACAGACAAATTCGGTTATACATGTGTTTGTTTCAGTTATTCATAGATACTAAATAGAGTTTACCTATTTTGTAAATTTTAGTAACTATCTTCTGACAACAAAATTAATATCTACTGTGCTTTATATTATCAACTGTTATTTTGCAGCAATGAATGTCCAATTCATGTGAGTTTTGACATTGATGCAATGGACCCTGAAGTAGCACCAACGACAGGCACTGCCGGTACTAAAAATAACAATACATTTACATTAATTTAATATGCCATTATATATATTATTCAGCATGAGTATAAGGCTAGTGGGAAACCACTGTTATACAAGGAAAATATATTATTGTTAAGATATATTGATTTAAAGAGTTATTTTCTTTTGTTGTAGTTCGAGGTGGTTTAACACTCAGTGAGGGACTTTACATTGCTCAGGCAGTTGCCGAAACAGGTAATAAGATAATAATAAAATAATAATGGTAATAATGCTGATGTTGATGGTTGATGGCGATGATGATGATGATGATGATGTTTAATGGTAATAATGGCGATGATAATGATGATGGTTAATGGTGATTATAATGATGATGAAGATGATGATGATGATGGGTAATCAGCAAAAATCAGCAATTTTGGATATTTTGGGGTGTTAAAATTGAAATTTAGAATTTTGGCATTTCTTGGTATCTTTTATGGTAACTCTGAGGGGTAAAAAAGCGTCCAACCACGCCCTCTTTAAAGGACTTACAGTATCTTTAAGGGTTATTTTTGAAAATTTTGGACGAGCACACCCAATACTTTTACCCCAGAGTTACCCCCTGGGGATGATGGGTGGTGATGATAATGGCTGATGATGATGGCTGATGAAGGTTTATTTGAGATGATGACAATGACTATGAAGTTGATGATGGTGATAATTGTGATTGATGGGGATGAACTAGAGTATAATTATATTTAGTGTCTCTTTGGCCAAGACAACTTTGTTTTGATTGTTTCTGGATGTTTGATTAATAGGGAAACTACAAGGTTTAGACCTGGTAGAAATAAATCCAAGACTGGGAGATGGAATCGAGGCTTTAAGGACAGCAGAAACTGGCATGCAAATTGTTGAAGCAATGCTCGGAAAACATGTTAAAATACCAGAAGAAGATCTGATACCCTACAATGAAGCTATTAAAGCTAAGTCGAACAAATGAGAGAAAAGCTTATTTTTAACCAGCAAGAAAAAAAAATCATTGCTTTCAATCAGTAAAGAGCTAATTGAAGGGCTGGTAAAATTGGGGATACATGTTTGGCCTGGGGCAAAAAAATCTTACCCACTTATTCAACTCTCTTTATAGAGGAGCAAACAAAAGCAAATACAATAACTAACAAATCAGTGCATGTGCATATTCTATAAAGGCTACTCGAACTGTCTAATTAACAAATAATTTGACATCAGTTTGTTATTTGTCTGTCCTCTTATTGACAATAAATTTCGCCATGACATTGTCAAAGTACTACGCAATTTATTGACACATAAAAATCTGATGTCAATTTGTTTTTTACAATAATAAAAATGATAAAAACTTTTTACTGATCAAAACAACTAATGGAAAAAGCATGCACTCATTGACGTCAGCATTATCTGTCTGTCCTCTTATTGATGATAAAAATTAACCAATCAGCATACGAGAAATTTGTAAGTCATTATAAAATCTTTATAGACAACAATTTTATTATCCAAGGAATAAATACTCTTAATATTCAACATGCATCAGCTCACTCTTAATGAATCTTCACAGCATGATACATGTGTACATTTATTAAGAATTCGCAAAGAATCTAGCATAATTGAGAATTTAATTGGTCATTCTGTACTTTATCATTAGATGACACTTGTCAATCAATCATTGGTGCAAGATCAACCCATGACTGGCTGAGTGCCAATCAATTATTTGTATCAGCTGGTCATAAAGTACACAGTAACCTGAGAATTTTTTACTTGAACTCTAAAGAGTAAATTTGTAAAGTCTGCTTTTCTCGTAAGAATATTTTATTGATAACAAAATGCCTAATTAATAATAATTTTAAATAATGATAATAAAAATCAATACAATTAATGATATAAAATAAACGATGAAGCAATTCCATATACCCAATGAAATAGATAATAGTAAAGGCTAACAGAAATTAGTAGAAACTAATTCCATTGTTTGCTTTTGTTTTTTATTCAACTGTCAAACATCGACTGTTATATTTGTTTCATTGGTTATATGAAATCACTCTAAGAATATACCACTATCAATATTAATAGTAAATATATTAAGTAGTTTTTGAAATAACAAGTCTACGCATTGAAAGTAGAATTTTTTCAATTGCCAATGGTAGTTCTTGTTTTCATGTTTTCCTTATTTAAGTTTGAGAAGCAAATGTTCAGGAAATATCCATACCCAAATGGCAGCCCAAACCAAACTTTTCCTCAATTGTTTTTCTTCTCTACAGACAAGGGATTCATATTAGGAGTCCCATGCTGTTTTTGGTCTATCCCCATGTTAATCTCCTCTGGATATTTTCTGAGCTCATATAAGTGTTTGTTTTTGTTTTGATACTGTACAGTAGTTTAAGCTAGGCCTTCTCAAAAGAGAATGGCTTGAAGTGTTAACATGAATACACAATGAACCTATGTCATAGAATGTAAATAATAAAAATAGAATTCAGTGCGTAATCTACCATTTTTTGTGCATTGGTGATGTATCTTTAGGTGTCTAGAGGATTGGTGTTGATGTTCTGGTACTTGGCATCCTGGAATAAGGAGGAAAAAATTTAAAAAATAAAATAAAAAGTAAGGATGCTTAAGGATTGTGTTTTGAATGCATAATGGTTCATATGGCAAAGCTCTTGGAGTAGACACTGGGAGTATCAAAAATTTCAATAGATGCTTAGTAAGGGATTAATCAAAACTGAATCAATATAATGATAATCACTGAACCTTTGATAACTTTCTTTCCACTGATTGTCTAAAGAATTTGAAGATATGTCCTGAAGCTTCCTTGCATGCAGAAAGACACTGGTTAAACTGGCAGATAAAAAGACAAGTCGATTAGTGGCAAATAATCCTTCCTTTTTTTATATAAAAAAAATGATGACAAAATGGAATTGTAATAAAATGGGATTCCCATTCACCTCACCACAGGTAACCCAACATGGACTGTAATCTCGCTGCTCTCACCTGTTCTATTGTGAACATTCCCTTTGTAGAAGAAGTCAAGAGACTTTGTTTTATACTGTCAAACACAAATGTTAAAACAGCACTGGCCTCCTGTTCAAAAAAAATCAACGAACAGAAGTAAATGGGTGTCCATTTGTTTTAACCCCAACTCTCATTTATACACCTGGGTGGAGAGAGGCCACTGTTGGTCTGAGAGTATGATAGCACTATGAGCCCTCTGGTGTAGAAAGACATACTTTTTTCACCTATAAACACAATGTGAGTGCACTAGATAGAGCTTGAACATTCGGCGTCTAGGTCTCAAGGCTACATATCACCAGGGCACCACATCTTTCCTGGACCAGAACATACCTGTTCTTGTTCCAGAGTAGGGTCGAGCTGGATTTCATTATTGTCCATGAGAGCACATGTAACAGAGGCCACAGTACATCTCATTGGGTAGCCAGCATCAATCATGGCCATACAAGCTGCATTGACAGCACATGAAAACAACTAAGATCTATTAAGGAAAGTACTATCTCATACTAGCTCTAATTTTGGTGAGCTTCCTGTGGCATGCATTCCACAGGAATCCAAAAGAAAGGATTAGATAAAGATAAAAGATACAGATCCTGAGTTTTGCACCACTTGAACAATTATTGTCAAAGCAGACCTTGGGTGTAAAGATGTCAAGATAACTGGTTCGCAGCTTTTTTTGATAATTTGTTCCAGTGACTTTTCAGCACATCCTGTTTGGAATTGAAAAAATGATCAAAAATATTGCACTTGAGTAAATGTGCAAAAATCATCGAAAATGAAAAAATGAGCAGTATGTGGAATGGATTCGGAAATGGTAAAAAAGGTAGTCACCACAGGGAGCCCAAACTTGAATTTCTTCCATTGATAATAAGCCTGAAGCGAGATGACATTTTACCCCCATCTCTAGACCATAATAGTTTTTAAAATTCTTTCATATTAAAATTTTTGATTCCTTAGAGAATACAGGAACAATAATCATAATTAAAGAACAAAAGCAGCATGAAAAAGATTATGGTCTAGAGACGGGGATAAAACGTCATCTCGCTTCAGGCTTATTTGCAATCCTTCAAAAGCAGTGTCCGTGCCCGTAACTTTGAAGTCATTAAAGATTTAATATTTTCATTAGAAACTGACCAAGCTTACCAGGAAGGCCGACTTTAGTTCTGAATATCACCTCTACATATGATTTATCTAGCAACTCCTTGTTGGATCTGACTTCAACTGGCCCGTATGCGGCTGCTATGACTCGTGTAGCTCCTATATTAAACAACACATGTTCAAATTACTTAAAACTACTGATAGACTGACAGGTCTTGTAAATAATGTGAAGGAAAAACATTATGGAGTCAGAAAATCTCTAAGCTTGATATGAAGATTATGTATTTTTTCAGGATCAAACCTTGTTTAAATGATGCCGACCCATCGGTCTGAGAAAGAAGGTCTTGCTCGCAGTACATTGCTCTTATTTCGGATATCGCTCTTTCTGTCTCGATTTCCATTTTTCCTTGTCACTCACCTTTCTTTCTAAACTACACGTGATGACAAAACTTTGCTCTCAACTTTGGCCGCCATATTGATTTGCGAAAGAGACTGGAACTACGTAAGCAAAAATAGATTCAGGGGAGAGGGGAAAGGAAATGTAATGACTATTGTCACAAACATTATTGTGCAAACTTTTAATTGATGGGAAAAAAGATTTTCTAAGAAAGCTTGTTATTATTATCGTGCATCATAAATGATAAACAGCTTATAGTCTTAGTTTTAGATCGGTTTAAAAATCCCTCTCCTAACCCTCCCCTCCCTTATTTGTTTTCGGTAGCCTAACAGTACCCTAGAGAAGCTGCTTTGTCACTGATTCAAGATGGCGTATACGACATGGATTTTGAGGTCAGTTCTGCAGCGAACTGCTCCTCGTGTTCTTCGTTCACGAATCATTCCTCACTTCAGAACTCTCCCAAAAGTAAGAATAGACATTAATTTTCTTTCTGCCTATATTTCAAAAACATCCTATTGATAATTTTATCGTTTTTTATTAGTTTTTATCCACGTCCTTTTCAACGCCAGAATACAACGAGAAGCCAAGATTTCCTGGAGCTTTGAATTGTGAATTTACAGAAAAGATAGAATTTGTTGACCCTAGTGATCCTCGAGGTATTATTCCTGTTTATAGAGTAATGGATAGAAGAGGAACCATCATAGATGAGGGCCATGATCCTAAGGTAAAGACAATTGCCCATAAAAAATTAATTTTATGCATAGCTTAAAATGTTGTTCATATGAAAAAAAAGAAGAAAAGTCTCCTTACATTCCTGTTTCCTTAAAAGATAAAGGTACCTATACTTACGTTGGTAGTTTCTTCAGTTGAAATTAAATAAATTTAAGTTGCAAAACGGGTAACTTAGGGGGAGTGGGGAAGGAAGTTATTGTTTACTATTTTGATGATGGGAACATTATGGTAGTCACTTACAGAATATACATGGAATGGTAGGTATGTTATAACACTGAAATGGTTTCCCATTTCCTGTTGATTACCTAATCACATTACATTGGAACATATCATTAGCCATGCCGCTGCAGACATTTTTTCATTGATTATTTATAGTTGGATAAAGACATGATCATTGATATGTACAAGAAAATGACACTGTTAAATACCATGGATCGTGTCTTGTATGAATCCCAAAGACAAGGGCGTATATCATTTTACATGACGGCATATGGCGAGGAAGCAACACACTTCGGCAGTGCAGCAGGCTTACACTCCGAGGACCTGATAATGGGTCAGTACAGAGAGGCTGGTGTTCTGATGTGGAGAGGATTTGGTCTGGCAGATTTTATGAACCAGTGCTATGCAAACATGCATGATGTGGGTAAAGGACGTCAAATGCCTGTTCATTATGGATCAAAAGAGCATAACTTCGTTACCATCTCATCCACTCTTGCGACGCAGATGCCTCAAGGTAAGTCTTGGATTTCTGTTTTTATTTTGTCAGTCATTTCAGAAGTGGGCTAAATATAATGGCTGGTCATGATGACTGGCCAAATTAGTTTTAGCTCAGTCATACCTCATTTCTGGTTCAAAGTTGCTGGTCAAAATGATCGGCAAGGCAAGGATTTGACTAACAGTATGATGGAGGAGAGGGGAAAAACACTAAAAACATTCTAAGCATTGCTAGATATTACATTAATGAGATAATTTGCTATTATTTTTAATGAATCAGATTCGTTTGATAGTAACTATCAACTGTTGATACTTGCAGTGACCACCCTTAGTGCCTACGACTCATACTAACTAACTCTCATTCATAACTCATTGTAAAGCACTTTTGGAACATATCTATATGGAAAAGAGTGCTTTATAAATTATTCTCATAACTCATGATATAATAATGTGGTAGTGTTAGTAGTGGTTGATGTGATGTTGAAATCAGTTTACCTAAAGATTAATTTCTTGATCATTTTTATCACTTTTTGACCACAGCTTCAGGAGCAGCTTATGCCTACAAGAGACTAGGAAAACCAAACTGTGTTGTGTGTTACTTTGGTGATGGTGCAGCAAGTGAAGGTGATGCCCATGCTGCAATGAACTTTGCAGCAACTTTAGATGCACCAGTTTTATTTTTCTGGTAAGCAAATATAGTCACTAACTTGTTTCATTCAAGCATTATATATTGCAAGTCATTTATATTTAATTCCAAGAAAGGTAGAAATGTAAATTTATGATTGAGACATGCTGTTAAGAAGCTTCCTTTATCCAAATTTTCATACACTCTTATTGTTATTCTTAAAGTCGCAACAATGGATACGCCATATCGACTCCAACTCATGACCAGTACAGAGGAGATGGTATTGGTAAGTTTGAGTGCACTAATTATAGCTTCCCTTGACACTAGGCTTCCTTAGCTTGGGTAAATATTTGTTCCATTCACTGGAATAGCTGCATCACCCTGGGACAAAATGCCATAAGTGTGGCTATCTTCTTAAATCCACACTGTAATTAAATTATAGCATGCAGAGGAAGAAGCTATGGAATGTTAGCAATCAGAGTTGATGGCAATGATGTCTTTGCCGTGTACAATGTAACAAAGAAAGCAAGAGATATTGCTGTAAAAGAGTCAAGGCCTGTGTTGGTGGAAGCCATGACATATAGGTACAATCTAATGATATCTTAATAATCTTTATAGCGGGAATAATTCATATCAAATATTAAATTTTTCTTTCTGGATTTTTGATTTAGAATTGGTCATCATAGTACGAGTGATGATTCGTCAGTGTACCGTTCACTGAAAGAGGTTAATTATTGGGACAAAGAGGATCACCCAATCTCCAGGTTAAGGTATGCTTTTTAAGAGAATGGAGGAAGGAGAAACCATAAGCACTTGGTTGATGTTTCTTTCGTGAGGAAGATAAGGGGGGGGGGGGGGCAGTTATTGTGTACTTTATGACATATTGGTCAACACTTGGCCAACTGTTGCACAATGGCTGACACATGACCAACACTTAGCCAACACATTGCCAACACTTGCTCACTCACTCACTTCTTTATGATAGAATTTCATTCCAAGAACAAATGAATTTCACTTGGCATTGACAAACATTTAGCTGATTGTTGACCTTTATTTGTCAGACGGTCAACAAAATGGTCCAAATTACCAGGGGGAGGGATTATTTCTTTCTTGAGGGTATTGGGAACCTCTTTACTGAACGGACAATTTCTCATTTAAACCATTTTTTTAAAAAAGATACTACCTGGAAAATAAAGGATGGTGGGACCAGAATCAAGAACAAGATTGGAAGAAAGAGGCTCGCCTGCAGGTTATGAAGGCATTTTCTGAAGCAGAAAAAGCCCTCAAGCCCTCAGTCAAAGAATTGTTTTATGATGTATACAAAGAGCTTCCCAAACACTTAGAGGAGCAGTACAAGGAGTGTCTTGAACAAATTGCAAAATACCCCCATGAATACCCCACTGAGGCACATGCTAAGGATTAGGAAGCGACTTAGTGGAACCCCCTGGGGAATTAATGAACCTTTAGGATGCTCGATTATACAGTTCCATTCAGTGATCACGAATAATATTTCAAAGACGAAGTTAGAGTTGCCACACATGATAAAAATTATAGTTTTGCTTTGTAAATATTATTCATGGTCACTGAATGGAACTGTAAAATGAAGTATTATGGTACAATAAATTATTCCAAAGTTGTTCTTTTATGTCTGGTTTGTTAAGGATTCATTTTGTCCCACTTTTTAACAGGAAAGAAAAAATAAGGACTTTAGATATACCTCTAGGTTGTAAAATAAAACGAGTTAATATATTATGATGAGGATAATGCACATATACAGATTGTGTTGCAGATGAGACATGGTCATTGGTTGTGCCCTTTGGGGTGGGAGGTGACCTTTCCAACTTTGTAATATCAGGGTTCGTGCTACTCCTTAAGCTCCTTGAATACTCCTTGAATTTAATTCACGTTTTCAAGGGCACTTGAAAAGCTCTTGAATTTTACGATTTTAACGAAACTCCTTGAATTTTTGCTTTATTCATTAATTGCATGGTTCTGAAATAGATCTAGTCAAAAAGATCGGAAAATCTGAAAGTCAGCCATGTGCAACCACCGTGCAAAATCTTGGCATAGTTAGCTGAACATGCATACTCCTTGAAAATTCATTTTTGGGTCCTTGTATACTCCTTGAATAGTCCTTGAATTTTAAGTGGTTACCTCGGCAGGAACCCTGAATATTTTTCCATTTAAGACTGTGTGTCATTCCCTTGAGCATCACAAACATGAAGAATCTTATTCTCAAGAGAATGAGAAGAAAAAGATATTTAATTTGAAATGAGAAAACATTATTCTCAACTAGCCTAAACAGTCTATTACAGTTACCCCTTTAATTTTCTTTGTGAACACTTGGTCGAACACTTACCTCCAAAACTTAACTGGATTGTTAAATATACTCCTACTCATTCAAGAAAATATTAGAGTGCTTACGCTATATCCATGAAATAAAATCTAAATAGTTACTATCTAACAGTTTTTATTTAGTGACTATCACTCAACTGGAACAGCTTTAGTAACAATACACAAGGGAGACCAAATACTCAAGACAATAGAAAGATAATACTTTGTGTATTGTTACTAAAGCTGTTCCAGTTGAAATAAAACCTGTTAGGTAGTAACTATTTAGATTTTATTTCATGGACATAGTGTAAGCACTCTATAATAAGACTTAGATAATTGTATAAATTTCACTCTTTTAACACTGTTTTCATTTTCTTATTTTTATTTGAGAATCAAATTATTCATCATTATTTTATTAGTAACGGTACAGAGACGGGCTGTACAGACTGCTTTAAAAAAAATCCCATAAAGGTTGAATGAAAAAGTTTTGTAAAACCTGTGTGAGTATCAAACATTAAAAAAGAACTACAACTTACTATGATATATATAATAAGTTTTTTTTTTGGTGTACTGTAAATGGATTTTTGTTATTAGAAGACGTTTGAAATTTGTCATTGATTCTGTTATATTCAATTATTATTAATCTTGTTATTGATTATAAATCAAAAGTTTATTTATTTAGTTTATTTATTTATTTTGGGTTAGTAATGCCAGTGGTCCCAAAAAGATGCACAGAAATTGTCTCTTCTGCAATTTCTCATATGGAATACTTTAATACTGACTGTATTTTGTATAAACTCTGTCCATCTTAATGACAGTGATGTTGCAGTTCTTCTAGCAGTACCATGAATATATAAGGAATTAGTAAGCAAATAGTACACACAACCTGCACTATGTTCAAAAGCACACTGGATTCTTGAACAGATCATACATTAGTAATTTAACTGTAAAGTTTTCCATTACTTGTCACAGCATACTAGGAGATGAGTGGGGGGGGGGGGTTGTGAATGCACCCTGCACCCTCCTAGCCTACAGGCCTGGGTACCTTCATTACAAGATTGTTATTTTAATAAAATTATAAACGTTACTGTAAAAAAAAAAAAACGAAATTAATTAGTTATTAACTAATGTTTAAAAACTTTTTTCATAACTTGAGTTTGCCAAGGAAAGTATCAAAGTATGAACCAATATATAGGACACCATTTTCCTCATGTACTTCACTAGCAGATGAAACAACTTGACCACCAGGATCGTGGAAGCTCCTTAGAATTCTACCAGCGTCACTCACTTCAAGGATCAAACCATACTTTGGAACTAACTTTATTATCCATTCTTGAGGTATTAACTATAGAGAGGATAATGCAATGGTTAGATCATAAAATTAAAAAGAATGTTTTTTAAAGCATTGCGTTACTGTTTAGTCTGATTTTGGACTTAAATATAGAGTTTCGCACAATTTGATTGGTAGGGGACTAGATATATACAGTTTGGTTAGTAAAAATCTTCAAGCCTAGAGTGATTTTTACTTGGCTCGTGAAAAATAGTTGTATGATTAGTGACAACAGTCAAAGTAAAATGAAAGAAAACAACAGAATTTGTGTCTATAATTATGTATAATATGCTTAATATTTTTTCATGGCCCAAGTAAAATATCACTCCAAGGAAGTCAATCATTCATTTAGCTTGTCCTACTACTCTTTCCAGTAGACTGTTACACCCAACGTTTTTTCAACCCATCCAGAGGAGCTTTTAAACCCACCCGCGGCTGAGAAACATTGATTGTGTGATCACATTTTGTGTACCATGTGATGAGCTTCTGAAAGTACCATGTGATCAAAATTTGTTGGCGTAAACACCTTGGGTGTAACGGTCTACTGGGAAGAGTTAAGGTTATATGGTTATAGTTTGGTTAGTAGCCTGAGAAATATAATAAATATTTTTCTCTACCTTTGCAATAATTTTCCTCAGCAGTGGTTTGGGGGCAAGCATATCTAACATTGAAAATGGTGCCTTCCTTACACCACTGAAACCAATCCAATAACCACCATTACTGCTTTGACGTATGTTGTCAGGTAAACCAGGAAGATTATCCATGAAAACCTCAGTTTTGCCTTCATCTGGACCTTTAATGTAATACCTAAAAATGAAATATTATTGACTGAATTAGAATTTTTTATTTTATTCACTATCTCGCTTCTGATTGGCCAAGAGCCTTAGGCCAATCCCTGATATCTTATGAATTTGACATGTTAAATGTATTATCTGTTTGTAGGTTTTTCTACAAATAATACATTTGTTATCTCAAGTTTAAAACATTGACTGATTATATTTTATACATTTTACTCAATATCTTACTCCTAATTGGCCAAGAGCCATTGGTCAATCCCTGATATCGTATGAACTTGTCATGATAAATGTATTACCTGTCTGTAGGTTTTTCTGCAAATAATACATTTATCATCTCAAGTTCTGACTCTCTTCCCTTGACTCTCTCCCTCCTTTTATAAATGTCACTTTTTAACACGCTCCCATTTAATCTCCCATGTTTTCTACCTGATGTGAACCCAGGATCATTCCCATTTATACATTCCATGATACCACGATATTCAAAGATACCAACTTCCAGTTACCACTGTGTTCATTGCCACACACTGATCAAGACAAATGTTGGGACAGAGAAATCAAGCAGTAGACTACTGTCATTCAAATGGGACTTAAACTAACAGTTTATTTGATTGATGGTAGTATATTGCCTAATTTACCTGTCATGACTAATGTCTCAATCAATGCATAGCAATGAAAAAAATGGTAGAGTGCAAACAATTAATCTGTGAAACACTAATTACTAAATAGTACAAAATAGTGCTAATTAAACAATAGAAAACAATGGAATTTGCATGAAATTGTGCTATTTAGTATTACTAAAGTTTCAGGGTTATATTGTTTGCACTCTATTAAAAAATATATTATAAACTAACTTGAGGATCCTTGACAATGCTGTTTCTGCCACCAGGACAGCATCTCCTTCTGTGGTTATCTGTACACCATTAGCAAAATGAAGACCAGATACGAGGACTTCTAGTTCTCCTGTCTTATGGTATGCCATGAGGCGTCCAGTAGCATCTCCTTCCAAGATTGCAAATCTATTCACATTTCAAAAACTATAATTTTAATTTCTAGCTCCATCAATTTTATTCTTTAATTGTACATTTTAAATGTTCATAACTCAAATTCTCTGTGCATTTTGGATTTACTGTAAACTCATGCAGTTAACAAATTTAAGTCTGTACTTCCTTTTTGCATAGCCATTAACATATTTGAGATAACCTCCTTTCTAAACTAATTGTTTTTTTAAATTATTTATTTCAAGCCTAACCAGATTAATTTTTTGGTACATTTTAAAATTAATGTTTGTAACAAAAATTTAATTTATAATGTCAAATAAGGGGCCATGCATTGTGTATGTCTGGGCATATGTGTCTGGGATGGGGGGAGGGGTGGCTCGAATCAAAACTAATTCACTCTCCTATTAAAAGTATAATATTTTAGACTCCCACGTTTTTATGTGATTGGGAAAAATGAAAAATTCAAGAGACCAAAACTCCTATCTTGTATATAATTTGACTATTCCCCCTTTTACTAGGTTAATTTTTTTTTACCAGCCCCTCCCTAGAGATAAAATAATAATGAATAGTCCCTATCACCTGTTATCTTTTCTCTGCCATTTTGTGCTAGAATCAGTAAAGTATATTGTTCCTTTACGATCAATGTCTAAGTCATTAAAGAATTTAAATGGGTCCCCATGGACTCCAGGTGTTGGCGGCACAAGAGTACTTGTACTTCCAGATAAGACATCAACCTCCAGTAACCCATAATATGCATCAGCAACAATTAATTTGGTCCCATATCTGTTAAACCTCATGCCAAGTGGTCGACCACAAGTGGATTCTAGTTCTGGTAAATCTGGAATTGAAAACATTGATGCCATTTAAATCAAAAGAACTCTGGACTGGTTTCACATGCATCAATTTCTGACATTACGTTTGGGGGCATTTTTGTGTGTAGTACCATCAATTAATCTTAGGGTCAAGAACGATATAATAGCAAGCACCAATCTCTCAGAAAATAAACGTTTTCTGGAGGAAATAATTCTACAAATAATTCAATATACATAATCATATGCAGAGTGAATAGAAACTGACCACAGGGTGGTTTGCCAGTCCTTGCGACATCAACAATTTTTCCATCTACAAATTTCACAATCCTTCCATCTGCAAGACCTGTGTATACAGTTCCTTCAGAGTCAATGGCAATGGATTCTGGGCCGGCTATTTGTCCTTTATATAATCTTTCTGTTTTCCTTAGCTCTTCATTTTGCTCCAAAGGACCTTCTAACTTCGGCAAAGGCTCTGGCAAGCTAGAAAATATTTAGAATTTTCTTATTTCAAATTACTTTCAACTTTCAAGAAGAAGAAGAAGAATGATGATAATGATAAATACCTAAAAGGTTTTGGGTCGATAGGCGATGGTACTAATAAGACTGTAGCAGCAAACAATCCAACTATTACTAATAACACAACAGTACAAATACCCATGCAAGACCTGAAAATAAAAATGAAAAATATTGAATTTTTTCTATCAAAATGGAAACATTTAACTGATATGCCCAATATGAATTATTACCTTGAGCATAAATAAATATATTTTTCCCATTTCAAACCACATCATTTTCTTAAGAACATAATTCATTGTTTGAGTTGCATTCATATTATTTTAAAGTGTCTTCTTATGGCGTTAAATATAGAAATGATATCCTAGGGAATGATATATGGTCAGAAAACATTATACAGCCAGAAAACAGTTAGTTAAAGCATGCTTATACACCTATCAGCGGCTTCCCCGTGGGGTCGACCCCTGGGCTGACCAGGGAGATGGGTGGGAGAATATAGGAGGATTGGATCCAGTTATTCCCCCTGGGGTTGGGAAAATTTGCGACATTGGTTTCGTGGCTAAAAACTGAGGTGGGGGATTGTAATGAAATTATTTTCATTGCAGAGGTCACCAGGGGGATTGATTTTACTCTCTAGTTAAAGAAATAGCTCCTGATTTAAAAATTTTTTAGACCACGGACGTTTTTGGTCGGGCTGGGTAACCTGTGCTATTTGCCAATACCCAGATGCATCTCTGCTCGTCAAGATGGCTGACGAGGTGAGAGAATTCCACTGTGAAGTATGTTTTTTGACATCCTTTGTTGTTTCATAGATACGAATTCGAGGGCACCTTGATTTATTTTTACTTTCAAATGTGAATTCTTCAATTCATGAGAGTTTTTTTTCAATCTTTTCAATGAAAAACTACCTGAAATATCGAGCAAACCGCATGGTTACGTGTTGAGTTCAGTTTTCAAAATACAATAACAATAATTTCAACCAAAATGAGGGAGATTGTAGATTTGAATGCCTCGACCAGGGGACATTGAAAARAAYAACTTCCCTACCCCTGGGAAAAATGATCAACATTGTTTATGAATTTTTACAATCTCCCTGGTCAGCCAGGGGGTCAATCCCACAGGGAAGCCGCTGATAGGTGCATTAGTGAGTCTTGAACTGGGCTACCTGTGTTTTAATTACCACCTTGTGAAAGGAACTAGGAATATCCCAGCTCCAGGATGGGAGGAAAGACTCTCTCCTCCTGTTGTGCTCAGCTCCATGAACACTAAAATCAAACTATTTACACCAATTTTATCAAACCCTCGAGCATGCAGCCTCTTGGCTGATCTGAGTCAAGGTAGCAACCAACACATATGAAAGGAGTTTCTTAGCATGTTGGCTTTTGAAGAAAGACGAGAACCTGGAGAAAACGTTTTTTTAAATATATGGAAAAATAATTGAATATTTAATCTTAAAACCCGATGGGTGGGATACAAGTTAAAAATTGTTTGATATCTTATTTAGAACGACATTTCTGTATTTAATAAGAACAAAAATATTTTCATGTTATGCATAATACTCGGCGATGGATAAAAGTGGAAGGATCTTGATCTAAGATTCCAGACCTACCGTCCATTAGCTTCGTGGTTTACTTCTTTACTTTTCTTGTCTGTTTGGTTATCCGCGATTTTGTCTTTCGCCATGGTAAATTTAAAATCGAGAGAAGAACCACAATAATGTATGAATATGCACAAGCTGTGGCCTACTGCCACGTAATGGCGATCACGTTACGTCTACAAGCTGATATGAGCATGCGTAGGTCTGTGGGCTCCCTGTGTACATGTTTGGAATCATTCAAACCGAAAGTGGCGCTACTTAAAGCAAGAGTTGAATGATGGCGGCTTTATATGATAGTCAAAGAGTACCAGTTTTGGGTTTCCACAATCCAGCAGCTACCATTCTTTATCCTAAAGGTTCGTACTCTTATTCATACGGCAACACAAGAGGACAAGACGTGACAGAAAATCTAGGAACACAAAAAGACCAACACTTGGACGTACTGTTACTGGCTTCCGGCGATGTGAGAAATTTGCTTTTTACAGTCTCAGGATTGTCACTCAGAAAACCAAACGAACGTCCAAAGAGCATAAGCTTCCATTTGAATGATTATGACCCTTCTATTGTAGCTCGCAACGCTGTCGTTTTAGAAATAGCAAACACGATAGATCCTGGAGAGGATGATGATGTAGACTTTTTATGGAATGTCTGGTACAACTTGGCTCTTTCTAAGGATCATTCTGATAGGCTGCGAGCAACTCTTGCATCTCTCATAACGAGGGACTTTAATGAATGCGAGAGTTTTTTGAAGTTTCAAGAGAGCAAAGTCCTTCAAGAATGTCAAGCCATTTGGGAAGACTGGAAAGAAGTGGAATTGGATGTTGACAGCGTAAAAGAAGAAAGGAAACAACTCATTAGTGAGAAATCACTTAGCCTGGAAAAGTTTCATGTACATGTAATGCAACAGATAATGATGGCACCAAACGTCAAAAGCGATTTCATCAAAAAGTCCAGTCCGTATTATAAGGAAATAAAGCACTGGTTTGAAGAGGGGTCCACAAACGATGAACGACACTCTGTTAATCCCACCTTGATTCGACCTTTTGATCACAAATGGAGAGTGCATTATACTGCTTGTGCATTTGAAGGATATTTGCCACTTTCAAGGTAGGATAAAGAGATTGAAAAATCTCATGAAAATCGCCATGCATGAACACCATCACATTAATTATTATCCTCATTAATATAGAGCTAAATTAATTCAGTATATACTGATATTTTTTTTCAGAAGCGACCTCATACGATGTCGATCCATCACAGGTTGTTGTAAAGAGACCCTCCGGTTGCTGGTGAAAAGGTTCCAACAATTTAAAACTGCTACGACGTTTACCGTTAGTACTCTTATGTGTGTGTGTGTGTGTGTATGTATGTATGTATACAGTCAATTCAAAAAATGTTGTCGACGAATACAAGCCTACGCGACTGGACCGAAAGGAACTCTGGGTAGTAATCATTGAAGGCGAGTTGACTCCATAATTTTATCTGACTAGTTATGCCTGGTTTACAGCACGAACCTTCGTAGTCGAGCGGGAAGTGTTGAAGGAGACGTTTTTTAATGCCTTCATATTTTCGGAATTGTGAACTGAATCATAACTACTTCGTTTTTCTTCACCTAAACCTAAAATTGTTTCTCACCATTATTATCTTATTACTAGCGGGAACAATTAATTCAGAACGAATATTTAACCGCTTCAGTGATTTTTACCCATATTCGTTTCGGTCGAGTCGCGTAAGCTTGAGCCGGTCGACGACAACGTTTTTTGAATTGACTGTAAGCTTAGCTATTTCATAGATGATAAGAAATAATATTCTTATTTCAATAAAGTTAGTCAAACAGAAAGTTTTAAAAGACGCATAAAGTTGTAACGCATAATGGTTTGTAAATTTTTCACATCTAGTTAGCAGAAACCAGTAGTATCTAATAAGAACGAGATGTTTATTATGGAAGGACTTGTTTCGTGAGAGGCTAACATTCTCATATTAAAAAATAATAATGTAGAAGAATAGCAACCAAAAGACTGCCCAAGCTGAGGAATTAGACAACGCAGGAGGGTTGGGTGGGGATAAAGCTTAAACATAGATCTCCTAATATTCATTCCTCGAATATCTGGTATATCTCTATAATCTCTCTAACGGGGTCTACTACGAAATTTTTATTTCAGGTATTTTTCTGGACCGGCGATGGTCTATTGCTTTGTACCAGCCGTCTCCCCCAAGGCATGAGGTTTGACGTCATTGACACCAGCAACGTCGCTGATCACATTGGATTGTTGAATATACTTGTTTGCTGCAGCCCAAGACTCAAAAGGTGTATACACCTATTTCAATGAACGTTAGCTGTTATTGCCAAAGGCGATAGGGGATAGGTAGCCTGCATGCAGCCGGACCTAACTAACTAAACGTCCGGCTGCACGTAGTCTAGAAGATATTGTACCATTCCGACATGTAAACGGTTTCGTTCAATACCCAAAGAACGTTGAATCAGTCTCAACACTATGGTCCATGTTCTTGACGAGAATAAGAAGCATGCAGAAATACAAGTCATTCGAGCTATTCAATTGATCTTGGAATCTTGGATCTAATCGCTTTGCGCCTATTGCCTATTGCCTATTGCCTTCGGCGATGACAACGTTTATTGAAAAAGGTGTATATTTGAGGTCACCTCATAATAAAGATCGATCTTACAACTGTCATCGCGAATGTTTTGGCCTATTATTTTTACTCTTTGATTTGCTTTCGATTTATTTTTTTACTTTCATTTTGTGTTCATTTTTAGACCCCTTGAGTCTCAGATGTTCACCTCAAGTATGCTGTGGTTTAAAGAGTGTGAAAATATCATGAAATATTACAGCAAGTGTCTTGGTGTTAACACTTATCTTCTGCCAACCATCCTGGGCTTAAAACTAGCTGTGGATTTTGACTTAGGAAACAGGTACATTGTTTATAACATAGTTACGATATACCGGTATTGGTTGATTAGCTGCCGCGAGCGTGCATCCCAAAATTTATAATGCACGCCAGGGTCACGCAATCTCGTACCCAGGGCCCGGTTGTACGAAGCCTGACCTGGATAGCGTAAGCGCTATCCAATGGATAGATCTTATCCAGTGGATAAATTTATTGTATAACAGCATCGACTTATTCACTGGATAAGGATTTATTCGCCGAATAGCGCTATCCAGGCTTCGTACAACCGGGTTTATTTCTTACTTCATCGCATCGCATTTCGTCGCATGCTCGACGGTCGAAATTTCATCGAGCATGCGCAGTAAAAAATAAAGGCTCTGGCATGCGCAGTAAAAAATGAAGGCTCTAGGTACGAGATTGAGGGTCACTGACTTGATTGAGTAGCGCGCGCTATCCATGTATGAAGATTTCGTTAAAATAAAATTTGCATATTTTTGTAGCATTGATTTTGATTTTTCGAAGGTTTATATACTTTTGTAATCGTAGAAGGCTTCCAGATGATATCTGCTCATCTCAGGAGATTTTTTGTTGGGTTAAAACAGAAAGAACAAGGACATTGCTAACACTAGGTTCGTAAAGCTGCATTAAAATTCCGACTGATTCCATATTCGATATCGACGCAGTGACGAGATCAATGCATTGTCGTATCAAGTTGGGTAGAACAATGAGGAATATTCTTGATATATACCCAAATAAGGACAAATAAAATATATTTAATTTCAACAAAGCAGGAACATCGACACTAGAGAAAAACGTTTGCGCATGCGTACATTTCAGCACGTTTTCTATAAGAATTTAGAAGAGTTTGAATGAAAAAATAAATGTTTGTTTTCTCCAAGTATACAACAAAAAAAATACGCGAGTATACTTTAGTTAGACCAAGATACTGTATTAACAAACACAATATGAAAGAATTACAAGCATGGACACTAAGTTTTGGCATTTTGTGAAGTCCAATTTATCAGGCATGTTTGAAAGTCAAATTTACATATGTTTTGAGTAATTTGCGTACGGATTCAGAGCATGCGCAGACGTTTGATCATTCATTGATCCATTACGATTTAGATATTTTTCTTTCGCAAAATAGAGGAAGGGGATGAAGTTATTCAAGCGCTTTTCATACTTGTCGAAAGATGTTTCGATCTGGTTGGACTATCGAAGGACAAAGTCTTTGGACCCAACCTGTCGTCGCCTCTTACTTTGCTCAGAATTCTACAGCAGCTCGATCCAATCGTTGAAGGCGGAGGTTAGTCGATAAATGAATAATTTAATTTATACATACATTTGGTCGGGAACTTTACTGATTGATTGAAGCAAAGACTGTGAATAATAAGTTAACTTAAGTCTAAACTGAAAATGATTACATATATGGCAAAATCAACATTTGAGCTGAGCGTTGTGTGCATAGCATATGCGGAATGTAGTGGTAGTGCGTGTGAGCGAAAAGGGTCCCCAATTAGTGCAAAAGCGCTAGAATGACTAGACACTTAAATAAAGTGATTTATTTATTTTTATTTTATTTTAAGACTCATTATTGCACCTTGCTAGTACATTAACTTTGCATGCAATTTCTCTTCATGCAGCGGCTCGTATTTTAGACCTTCTTAGAAGTAAGTTACCAAGGGACTTTGAAGATAAATTTGGCCTGTCCTGGAACTTGATAAATGGATCACTTGGTAGCATAAAAGGTAAACTAACAAAGGCTTCCGCTAAGCCTTCTCCCTTCCATCTTTCTCTATCTCTTTCTCAATCTCTTCTTCTATCCAGTCGGCCGTTGAATAGTTCCCGTACCCAGATTGGATTACCTTTTCTTTTCATACAGAGCCCATAGTTGAAGTTAATGTAAAGATAGATATTTCTACTGCTTCATGGTGTACTCCAATCCCAATGATCATTATATTCGATGACATTTCCAAGATACCCCTAAAAGTAAGTATCCCCATGGCAAACCGACTTGGTTTCCTACAACGTGCTATACATTGTTTGTAAAATTTCGAATCTTCAACTATACTTCCTTTTCGTTTCACATCTCAAAACGTTCAAACTTGGCTATGGTACTAGTTTTGAGGTGCTCTTTCTTATTAGTGCAGTTTTCGTATGACTGTGAAAAGCTCAGTGCTGAAAGCGTGACGTGCCGTGACCGTGATACTTTCTAGAATTTGTCCGCGCCGTGTTTATACCGTGTTCCGGGTAACTGATTGGATGGAGAGTAAATTCTCGTACAATGTGATTTGTCTGGCGTATTCATTATTGTGTTCGTGCCGTGAACTTTTCACAGTCATACGAAAACTGCACTATGTCGCGATCGTTTTTTCATCAGAGCTGGTTTGTTGGTCAAGTTGTACCATGCACGTGACCAAGTCCTGCAAATGGCCTATTTCGTCCGGCAGTAGCGCTGTATCATTACATTACCATAGCCATGGACAGTTTCACTACCTCTACTTTGCTATATCGATCGAATCACTACTGTCGTCATCATCACTCATTTACCATGGGTTATTCTTTCTGCTAGTATCAGATCTGGGCCTGGTTGTACAAAGAGTGGATATCACTTTCCAACGGATAAATCCTTATCCAGTGGATAAGTCGATACTGATATCCAATATATCTATCCATTGGATAAGATTTATCCATCGGATAGCGCTATCCACCCTTCATACAACTGGGCTCAGATGCACATACACATTATGAATCAAATTTATTCCCAGTTGTTTCTTTTGACTCCAAGGACCCTGAGTCTAATGAGTTTCCGCCCTTAAATCTCAAACGCCGGGTCATCTACAACAGTTTACGATATGACGATTCCAAACGTGTAGTTACATTTCACATCCTCGAGAAAGATTGGTACGCGATCAAAGACACGTCATGCTTGAGCATTATGTCGAACACCCTGCAACCAACTACTATAGACAGCGAACCAGTCTGTCTTGGAGATGAGGATGTAGTGTCCATTGTAAGACGAGTGGATCCAGTAAAAACGTTTGGATTGGATTGCGTTCAGACATTTGACGTTAGACCAAAGAAACAAGAGCACAGTGCACTTGAGGTGGGTTTCAGTATGTGGTTTTATAGAAGAAGAGTTCATATATAACGGAGACTCTGTCCCTGATGGTCTCTTGTCGAAAGCCAATGTCCATCCAAATCTGCATTTTTTTTTTTCATGTTTTCGCTAAATTCCGGCCTCTGCCTTGGGAGAGGGACATACGTTGACTGTAGTACTGAATTCGTAACGCTAAAAATAATGGAGCAGATTTACTATGACTTTGCGCGACGGACGTCAGGCGTGCCGCGGTCATGTAGTGGGTACCGTTCAAGGGCGGATCCAGGGGGGG